CATTTTTTGAAACAGTGCACAATATTTTTCCAACAATATTTAACTTACCACCAGATACGCTGTGTGCTAGTTGCTTCGTTTGGTGAACTGTAGGTCTTCCAATTTTCTCCCAAGTTTTTGGTTTGATAAGGGTGATATCAGATGCTGTGTCAAGTTGAAGACGGATACGGTGTGAATTCATATCCAAAGTCACATACTTTCTTCTGTGGTGAATTCCTGTCTGGTTATGAGACACCAATACTCGGTTTATTGGCTTACCAGAAATGTATTTCTTGGAATCGACTTTCGCGGAGTAATGTCTGCGAGTTTTTGTCCTACATCGGGTTTCTTTGTGACCCTTTTTGTGACATTTAGTGCAAACATAATCTTTGTATGGACAAAACTTCTTGTAGTGCCAACCTCCACATGACCAGCATGGAGATGAGGGCTGGTTGTCTAAGCTCTTGTGATGCTTTTGTGAGCCAGATTTTTTCTTTTCACTTACGGAATGCACGTATGATGGACGGCCATTGTTTTCGACCATGGAGGTATCATGCTTCAAATTTACTAATCTCTGGCACTCTGCAATTATTTCTTGAAGCGAGAAGTTTGGGCACTGCTCAATTTTACTTAAGATTCTGGTTCTTATATCAGCATCGTCGGGAGATTGTAAGCTGCACACAAACACAAGGCACTTAAACTGATCTTCCATCATTGATGATAATTTAAATCGTTCGCATTCACGATTTACTAAGCCGGCGTGCTTTACCCAATCATCTTCATTTGACTTAGTTATTTTTAGGCATCGATAATGAATATTAAGAGAGATGACTGTTCAGAGAAAATTTGCGACAGCGTTTCAATTGTAGCGTCAAAAGAGAAATCTCGTGGGTTCTTTGGGAGGATGAAATTACTATAACGTTCGTGTTCGACTGTGCCGAGCTTTCTCAAGAGGATTCTAACTTTGGTGGCGTCATCAAGATTGTTGAGGTCGACCTTGAACAAATCCTCATACTTCTTGAACCAAGACTCGAAAGTCACACCAGCAAGGCCATCAAAATGAAATTCATGAATGGAATTAACTATCGAGTCTGCATGTGGATTATATGAGTCGTCGGTAAGACCTCTGTGATTCAAATTCATTTGTTTCATAAACAACTCCAACATACGTTCCTGGAACTGTTCATATCGTTTTCCTTGACGTTCCAGTAAAGATTCTATCTGTTCAAGGGTAATTGGCATTGTGGGTTGAACACTCCGTCGCCACTTTTCTGTTTTGTACTTGATGTAACGCCAAACCACTGTATTAATGACCCCAGAACGTTAGACTCCTCCGTTCAAAATAAGAAGACGGAAGACGTTGGAGAACAATTATTAACAGAATCAAAAATATACAATCAAACATGCGTATTTATACAATTATACATATAATCGATATTGTCGTTTAAATATTTGAATATTAAATCCAATAGTTCATCGATTGACTGCCCTTGAAATATTTAAGCATTTAATCGATAAGTTCATCAATCCACAATGTGCGTGGCTTTCTTCTCGATTGGCTATCCCAACATAGACCTTTTATACACTACGCGTTTTTTTGAACTCGAAAGCCCATAAATTTACTGTTCGACAAAGTGTCGATTAACTGCAGCCTACATGAATCGACTAGCTATTCATAGTGCTGTAGGAAATCGATACCAAGTATGGTTGTGGGAACATCGTCCATGATAAATGTCCACAGATACTGTCGTTGGCTATTCACGTTGATCGTTAGCTGTCGTGTACCGTAGGTAGGAATGACAGAGCCGTTCGCATTGTGTGGTCGAAGAATCGTAGCTTTTAACTTAGTGCTATCAAACGATACGACAGGAACGTGGGCACTTGTGGCCATCAAGTGCTTAGCGTTAGTGGTACAGTTAAACAAAACGAGTACAACACTGTTCATTTTTCGCAAATCGTATTTTCTTCGTAGAAGTGTACTACTACAGATGATTCCTACCTTACCCCAAACGGATATGAACACACTAGGTTATATCCATATCAGTTCGAGGATGCAAGTTAAAACCTTGTGAAGAATGCTTCAAGAACCTGGATCTTTACTTTTTGAATATAGGCTTGTCAGAGATGACCTCCTACTGATTCATAGCATTCTAAACATTGCGGAGCTAACACTGTATATCTACCTACGTCCAGACACAACACAAACCATAGGGAAAATACTCACAATAGAGGACCATCGTGTCAAAATGGACTACAAATACAACTATACCTTACGAGAAGTAGAATTTTGGAATTCTTAACTGGATGAGGTGGTAAAAATGACTTCCTTGAAGTCCTTCAAGAAGAAACTTCATATGTTTTTAAGGACTCCAATATCCAATATCTTTTTCACGAGCTAGTGTAAACCAATTTGATTCCTTCGTGCTCGATTCTTGTTCTTTCGGTACGGTTCCAGGTGTTCGGTAATGTTCAATGGATGGAGGTCTAGCCACTCGACCGTCTAATTCTAGTCAGTTGGCAGTTGGTTGTGAGTTTGTATGTCTCGGCATTTAGACTGAAAAGAAACAACAGAGGCAACGAATAAGAAGCTACGAGGCATTCAGCTATATGCCTACAGCAATTTTTAACTGCTGGGGCAGGCAAAGTTATGGAAAGTCAATAGGTGAAGTTCATACTAGATGCTAAAACTGGAATGAATTACAATTGGATAGTCATCAAATTAGGGAGTACAGGAGTGAAGAATAGTGTGTCATGGTGTGTCAAGAATGGTAATAGAGAAGTTGAATTGAGAAACTGGGTGTCTGTATATTTGAGCCGCAGGACCAGAAACAGGAGTAAAGTTTGTGTAAAGCATTGATGACCGTATTAGTTACTGTCAATCTTTATTCCATCATATGTCAACCCCTAAGTTATACGGTGATTGCCTAAGTAAGTATGTTGCAGTTTGCCTTGGCAGGATAGTGATCCCAGCAGTGTACTGAAAACATGTGTAGCAAGGGCATGAGATAGACCTCAGTATTACTGACTAGTCGTCTCATCAATCAAAAAGAGCTAGAAGCAAACAAAATGTTCTGCTCCACAAACGTTGGTGGGTTGAAGTCATCGCTCCCATCATCAATGTTTGCAGGTCAGTAACCTCACCATCCCTCCATTTGTGTTGTTTGGCCCATTTAAAATGATTGCAAGATAATATCTTAAGTCCTATTCGAGGCTTTATATTTCACATCCTGCTGGTAATGACTGCTTCTGAAAGTTCCATTTTACGAGCCTGTCAGGCTTCTATAACTGATGATCTGTGTTAAGCATCAATGCACCATTGTGAATTATTAGAAAGTACTGGTTTGTGAACAAGCTCTAAGGCATTTAGGATGTAGTGGCGGAAAATGATTAATAAAGCGTGCGAGAGTGTAAGAATATCATAATTATTATGGATAACGAGAAGCGATTGGTGGTAGGACAATATAGTTCAGATCCAATATCCAATCTGTTTGCGCTCGATTCTTGTTCTTTCGGTAGGGTTCCGAGTGTTTGGTAGTATCCAATGAATGGGGGTCTAGTCACTCGACTGTATAATTCTAGTCAGTTGGCAGTTAAATGTGGGTTTGTATGTCTCGGGATTTAAATGAGAACGTTTGTTTCAGGGCAGTAGGTTTTCGGGATACCAGCAGCTATCACATTACCAGACCGGAGATCAGTTAGCCGCAATGTGAATGTTAATAAGGATAACAAGGATAAAATTCTAATGCTAATATGAATAAAATTTCAGAACTGAGTAATATATAGATGAATTTAGTTTGTTAATTGGTAGTGAAGATTGTGAGAGAGGATCGAAATGCAAGCAAGGGAGAGGAAACAAAGTTAATATTTGAGACAGGTTAAGTAAGTGATCTGAGGAGATGGCAATGGTAACAACTAGCAGGTCTCAAGATATGCATCATGACCAGCTTGTCCAATAGGGATGTGATAATCCGCATGTGAGTACGTGATTATCAAGTCTGTTCTTAAAGCTGTCCACTGAGTGGGCTGTAACTACCTCGGCTGGGAGAGCATTCGAAGTTGCGACGACTCGCAATGAGAGAAAGTGTGCACGAATCTGAGTATTCGCTCTTTGATGTGCAATCTTTTGAGGAGTGGAGTGGTGGTGATGCATCGTTAAGATGCTCATTTTGGGATGGTTTGGAGTGTTTCATATGGTGTAAGCCATAATCAGATCACCTCTGATTCTCCTGCGGCTCAGTGGAAATAATCCCAAGAGCTGGAGTCTATCGTCGTAGGGTTTATTTTTCAACCCTACCACCCATTTGTCTGCTAGTCTCTGCACTCGATCGAAGAGATTTATGTGTCTTTTAAGCAGAGGGGGTGCGATGACGTTGTGAACTTCCAAGTGTGGCGCGCGTACGTCTTAAACAGGGTTAAAAATAATTTCGGGGTGATAGCACCAAGCTGTCTTCACATAAAGTGAAGAGTCGCATTTGCTTCGGTTGCATCCCCAACATTTTTTGTACTGGTGTGGAGGATTTCTGTGGTTATTAAACCGAGGTCGCGCTCTGAGGAGACATTAGGGAGCGGAATTCCATTAAGGGTATAGATCGTTCGCATCATGTGAGGCATGAGATGCATGACGTGACACTTCGGTTGGTTGAGTTTTAAACCGTTTTTCACTGCCCATTTCTCAATAGATGTTAGGTCCTTTTGAAGCTCAGTCGAATCCTCTTCGCTTCTAATGGACCTCCAGATCTTCGCATCGTCTGCGTAGATCAATGCCGGTAAGCTAACTAAGCCTAGCACGTCGTTACTAAATACCAGGAAGAGAAGTAGGCCTAGGACGGTCCCCTGTGAAACTCCCGATGTGGAAAGTCGCCAGCTCGTGTGCACTCTGTTTACCTTGGTGACAGTATTTTATCATATCATTCAATATGCCTATCCACCTCCTACCTGGAGGCATCGGAGATTCAGTGTTTCTGGACACTAAACCCATTAAGCGAGAGTTGCTTCTATTCTGTTCACTTTCATTTGAATTACATGGACTTCTTTTATTAACCTTGAATAAACCGGGAGTTCTAAATTTTGAGTGATTGTGAAAATTCGAATTCGGAGTCATGTGGTCATCAAGCGGTAGATACTGTGTTGTTTTCTGACTTTATCAGACTATAGCAGTAATATTGGAGTCACAAATGATTTCGGGGGAGGCTACATGCCATCAGCTGGTGCTAGTACTGGACAGAAGGTTCGAATTCTATGAAACAGACGTCATGAGATTAACTTTTGTAGAAGATTAATTATCAGGGTACTATTATCCCTTGCACGTGTGCCGAAATAATGACCGCAAATCAAGATGGTGATAAGTTTGTTTCTTCGTGCGGGATAGAATTCAGTCAAGTATGCTGAATTTATAGGTCGTAAACGTTTTCCAGATATCAGTTGTCGGGATTATTCGTTCGGTAAATGAGTCAAGCACACGCGTAGAGTATGAAATCGATGATTATACCGGCCCCTACTTACCAGTAAAACTTTTCACAGAAGATCAGGATAATTCATCTTCCGGCTTACAATCTCGACCTCTTCGGGAATTATCGTATGTACGGGTGCATGGTCATGTCCGAAACTTTCAGGGAGTCAAACATGTCATTGCTTTCCGAGTATGATAAGTTTTGCCTCAAGGTGTTTTAAAGAATCCTTTGATATATTACCAGAATCATTTGATTACCCGTATTATCTAGATATTATATCCAGTCAACAATCTTGAAGCATTATTTCTCGTGCGGTCTGAACGAACACCACTTGTCAGAACCTACGTGCTTCACATGTTACTATTATGTAGAAATACGGAAAGGTTGAAGCAAATGTGGTGTAGCACAATTTTCGTGGTACCGATCCACTAAGGGGCCTTAAAATAGCATCTAATGACCCATATCGGAGTAGAATATAAATAAATTCATGCTTGTTCCTAGTTTTAGTTGCGTGTCTAGCTTTTTAGTTGGATGCGTCATTGGGACTCTATATGGGTAAAACAGAGCAGTTAAGATATAGTTAATTGAAAATTCGATATAGGTATGTTTGTGTACCTTAACATGCCTAATTTTCATTCATTTCAGTAACCTTATTTACTAATTGCACATGTTTATGGTCGGCTTCAAGAAGCTCCAATGCTAGATTAGTACTATGTAGTTAAATACCAATGGATTCTGACTAATCTCATTAGCTATGGTTTTAAAATATTCGGAAAATCAAACGTAAACCATTAAAATGAGCCCGAGAACAGTAATTATGATGCAAAAACCTTACATCAGGTATTATATTCACGCTAATCGTACTGTCTCGTTTTTATGTAAAACCAAACTTTTTAAATGTAAGCAGTAATTTTAAATTTCCATGCAGTTTAGGCCTCAGTAAACTTGCATTTTCACCAAATCCACACAACTCCATGAAAACCGGGTTAGCGTTAGTCATATGACTTGTGTTAACTATGTTTCTGATAAGTGGTCAGATGTTTCTTATTTATCATGAAGAAATCACATAGTTCTGATATATGTAGAGCTTTCTAAATATTAAAACCATGGGATTTGATCCAAGTTGTATTGCTTGCCTAAAAGTATGTAAAATGGGATTGAAACCTGTATTTTCCAAACAAAAGCTCAGTACTTCAAACGGTGAGCTACTATTAATTTTTCAGTTTTTGGTCTGTATGTAGCTCAGGATTTTTCCAAAGCGCCCAATCTATTCTTTACAGATTTTCTTTACTTTAAGGTTATTTGTTTGTCAGACATGAATGAACTTACCACTCATATAATGGAAGTGATTTATGCAAGAATGTTGTATATGAAAATTAAACAAGATGAGAATAATGGGACCAACGCCAAAAGTATTTTCAATGAGGCTGGTTCGCACAATATGCCTGGTTCTACTGGTAATGGACTAACTGTCTTACAAAATCAGATACTTGCGATAGTTAGGACGTTTGTTGGTGAACGTGGAATCCCTGTTTGCCAATTAACAGAAAAGCTACGTGGGATACCCGAGAGGCAAATTAGGTTTGTGCTTGTTTTCTGTCGTAATAAGCCTTTCACTTTTTGGTGCGATAACGATCGCTGATAATTTTTAAAATTTTATCACTGATCTTCACTTTAATCCCTTCTAATCAGTGAGCTGTATGTTTGGAAACTTGTTCTCGGTGATAATATGTACATTACTCTTGTGGATGTCTCGTTAGCCTAAGCACTTTACTTTCAGTAGTTGAATGACTGGTCTCGGTTTGTGGGTTAGTTTTTACTGCCGTTAGGTTTCCCATTCATAAGACTGACACCTGTGCGCATGTTTAGGTTGCCAAATCATATCGACACAATGAGATGTTATAAAGACTAATGTCTGAGTAATCAACAGTATTTGTAGTGAGGAAATCAGGCATGGACGCTGTGATTCGAGAGTAAAGGTACTTTACTCTCCAGTTTGTAATATGCAACATTAACTGACTCATCCATTTATTGCATGCTATCGGTCAGCTTCACTTATCTGGGGGTGTCATCGGTGCTGATGTCCTGGTGACTGACGAAATCTCAGCACGGATACAGAAGTCTCGATTGGCTTTTGCCAACTTGCGTCAACTATAGTGCAGGCGAAATATCCGTTTGTTAACCAAAGGACGAGTGTACTGCGCAGCAGTTTGCTGCGTCCTACTTTACGGATGGAAAACATGGCCGGTGAGAGTAGAGGATATTCGTTGGCTATTAGAATTCGCTTATAGATGTCTTCGGGGCGTTGCTCGTGTTTCCTCGCACAATCTAGTAAGCGGCGCTGTCGTTAGGAAACGAGTATCAGATTGGGATGGCAAACCAATAGATGAAGTATTGAAACTTCATCAATTTTGGTTGTTGGGACATGTGTTACGTATGCCCAACCACCGACTGCCTCGACGAGCTGTGTAATTTGGTGGAGTCGGTTGTAAGAATGCTAGGTGCGGCTAAACTTACATATGGCACAAATCCATGAAGTCGCTCACAGGTGGATTGAGTCATGTCGGTAGATGTCGACTAGCTGGTTGGGGCCCGCAAGATGATAGTAATCGGTGGTTAGAGACCCTGGATGACATGGCTCAAAACCGTTTGCAATGGCGCAGATGCATTCATTCTTTATGTCCTCTCAAATCATAAACTTTTAATTCGTCATCATATAATTTTGATAAGTCTAATTTACTAGATTCGATGTCTTGAATAATATCTAATCGTAATGTCTCCGATTGCTGCTAATACTTTTACTACCTCTGCTACCATGGGATTTGAATTGACAATTGCATCTCTGTGTTAATGTGGTATGGCAACTTGAACTGATGTACGTTCGTAGTTTTACGTTGCTATTAATTGATCGCCATAAGCTCTCACTAGGCTTATAAACTGGGATAATCAGGGATCTAACTGCTAAAACTGGTCCACCATCCTTAAAAATCTCAAGAGTCAATCTATCAGGACCTGCTGCTTCTCCTTGCTTCAGATTTCTTATCGCTTTTTCAATTTCATAAAGACTCGGAGGACTTACATTGATTTGCCATTCAGGATGACTGGAGATCGTGGTAACCGAAGTGTTGCTGCAGGCCATTTGAACTGATCCCTAGTGTTGTGCCCATCGACCCAATCTCCTGCATTATGAACGAATAATAGAACTATCCTTTTCCGAAATAGTCTCACTTACATTCGGGTTCCTACTACTGGTTTCCTTGATGAGTCTGATTATTGCCTACTACTGCCTTTTCCATCTCGCTTGCTTTCGCTTCTCACCACTGTTCGCAATTATTGGGTAGTTGTTTATCTACCTGCTGCAGAGGGATACGGGTTCGTGTTTAGTACTGTTCATTGTTATTGAGTCAGGTCACATTCATAAATCCTTTTTATTGTTTGTTTAACTCTAGGGAAGACTTGGATTTCCTCAGTGCTGAGGGTCATGTATATTCGACTGTGGATGACGACCACTTCCGAGCTACTGAAGCATGATTGAATCAACATTATCTGTATCATCTTATTTTATACTAAAAGACTGCGTTTGATTGTATATAGTGATTGGTCTTATTGTTTTTTCTGTATCAACACTGTTCATAATAAAAACAGTAATACATTCGATTCAGTATTAGCCGTGCAGATTAAATAGATGAAGTACTTTGGAGCCATTTTACTTCAGTATTTTGGTGCGTGTCTCCCCAAGTGAAGGAAATAAAGTGAACCGATATGAATTTTTAACAGATAATGTAGCTATGATGTGTGTTGTTGACTCCCTCGACGGGCTATGCCTTCTTGTGCAGGAGTAGGCTGGGATAAAGCTAGGGGCGACCAAACCTAAACTTGATACCATCCCATAAACTCGTCGAAAGTTCAGTGTAAACTACCACTGTCCCAAGATAAAGTTGAAAACTCACGTACCATTCAGTTGTAGTACAATTAGTTAATTTTTCCAACACCAGGTTCATCTACTCTACCTGACATTTAATAGTAGGTCACTGTGTCAGTAACTAACGTTTCATCAACTCCCTTATGCACGTTAAGGATATTGGCACTGCATAAAAAGTTATGTTGGGCTGGTAAGTCTATTGTTAGTCAACCGTGATGCAATAACTTTCACTACCCATGATAAGGCACTGAAGTAATTCACAAATGAGATAACTCATCGTTTAGATCATATACATGTCTATATTATTTGTATAAATTTAAATTATATGCTGTAAATTAAGTTTGTAGACATAATAATCATAACGAAAGCGAGCCTGAGAAGTTAAAAACAATTCACAAAATGAAAACTCTGATCAGTGCAGGGAACTGGGTTCATTTTTTCTAAGAATATTATGAGAAAAAAAATAGTAGAGTGCTATTTTTTACCTGTGCAAAGATACAGAGAAATCATTATTAAAGAGGCTGGTAGTAAATATATAAATAAGAAATGTGCTGTACACTGAAATGATATTTTGATTTACAAAAATCTCTAAACTAACTAATTCAATCGTGAACAAGCTAATCATACATCAGCGTTTGGTTAATTCTCACATTTTACTTTATATCCTCATGAATAAACTGTTTGGAAATATAAGCAGAAGTTATGGTTTCTCTAAATCTGTTTGACTCCATTTGTCTGACGATAATAATGATGTGGATGTTGGTTCACATACAACTGGGTCAAAACGTTTACTGTCATCATCATCTTGGCTTTCGAATTTAGCGAGTAAGCGATAAAACTCTGTGGCCGTAGTAGGTTCATGTATAGGGAAGTTTGTTAAACGGTTCAAATCGTTAATGGATGGGATGTTCGTTCTTGAACTACACGGAGCATTGTTAGATGGGTCAGGAGACAAAGAATCGTTCTGAGAAAGACAGGGCATAGGATCATGGTTTGCGGTGGTAGGGAATGAAAGTTGATTTTCTTCATTAACAAGATGATCATTTAAAACATCTATTTTCGTAGTTTCCTCAGTTTGTAAATCTGGACTACGATTGAGATGAGAATTGTTTGTTGTTTCAGGAGCGAATTTCTGAGGTTCATCATCATCACCGTCCGAAATTATGACCGGCGAAGATGGGTTGTTTAAGTTGACTATTTTTTCAGGGCTCTGATGGTATTTACGGACGAATATTTTATTATGACGCCTGGAGTGACAGTAACAGCAGCAGGAATGTTTATGATGACAAGAATGGTGATGACGGTCACAATGACTACGGTGACAATGGTAGTGTTTATGATGGCTAGTTTTACATCGACGTGAGGTACGCAGACGCACTGCTGAACTGAATGTTGAAGTTTGTTGGCACTCGTTTGAAGATGACGACCTTGACGAGGAGACTGATCTAGAAGTCGAACAAGATGAATCACTATCTATCCTAATTGATTCTCTAATTAGTTCACAATCACTATCTGAGTTTTCTAAATGACCAATATTTAGTTTTCGCCTGCGGTGACGATAATGTGTTTCATGTTTTCTTTGTGAGCGGTAATAATATTTTATAGAATTCCGAGGAGAAAACATATTTGATCTAGTTGCAGCAGTACTAGCTTCAGCGCATTTTGAAGATTCTGTGACATACTTATTCTCACGTACAAGAGTTGTGGACTTTTTGGGCGAATCGGTCAAACATGAACTGTGAACACTGGATGATGGGACTGTCGAACACGAAATTTCATCAGGCCGTTCATCTATTTCCATAGGCTCTTCATGACGAGGTATGAATAAATGTTGTTCAGTGAATCTCTCACTCCAGTTAATAGTTGCGTTGGCGGAGGAAAACACTGATGAACTAAGTGACAGTTTAGTATTACTGTTTTGCAAGCTATCAAGTTCCGAATTACTTTGCGTAGTATTTAGCTGGCAAGTTTTATTCTTTTCTGTTTCCTGGGTTGGGTGTTTGGCAGATTCGTTTTCAGTTGGGAAATCATTTTGTAAGGGCATATTTGAGAACGTCCTGAACAATGAACCAAGGGACACAGTTGATTTACATCTGTTTGCTTGACTTTCTGGGGAAGATGCATGACCTGGTTCTGACTCGTCAGAGGTTAATACATTGGAATGAGTAGGAGCAGCGCACGGTTCATTGCGGCACGTTGTTTCTCCATCAGAAGAGTCTGATGATATGACAACATACGGAGCCGTGTCACGCCAACCGCCAGGTGAATTATGGACCGATGTGGATTCGTCAGCTGATGTAATTGATCCCACTGAGGATATCAAAGGGAATATTCGACTACCTCTAAAAGGACAAATGTCATTGGACGTTGTTTGCTGATTTGATGCAACCGAACTCCAGTCTCCAGAATTAACATCGTTAGTAACTCCATTAGTACTAGTAGTAGAATTCGCAGGACGATCAGTTTGAGGACACAAAGACTGTGCAGGCTGTCTCAGAAACGTCCAATCAATTCCTGAGAACCTTGATGCATATGGTGCTCTCATCGTGTCCAAGCTCTCGGACGACTGTCCTCGAGCTTCGGATTGCATGGAAAATGTTTGTGATCTACTGACTACCGACCTGGGGCTAGTGAGATCAATAACAGCTAAAGGAGTTAGGGTCATCGGCATGAGTGGCATATGTAGTAGTTCACTGATCAGATGCTCTGGATCGTTTCTTAAGCCGGGTACACGGGCAGTGAAAAGAAGCAGAAGCCCGTCCAGGCGTCTTAGTGCGTGTAGGTGAGACCGGATAGCAGGTTGTAGGTAATCAGCAGGCTCCGTTACGCTAATAACATTTCGGATCGATATCCTACTATTAGTGCGTTGATTTGTAACTGAACTAATAGAATTTTCTTCCGAATTTTGTGATGTAAGGCAAGTGAGTCGGGTTCGATCATTATACTGACTGAACTGACTGCTGAGAGCTTCACTGAATCGTGCTTGATCTATCAGCTCACTTAAAACGCGTTGATATAAGAGACGGTTTGGAAATATCTCTGAAGTACTTACTGATCCATCATGACTGAGATTAATAGTTCGCCCTGACGTTTGACCTCTTAGTCTGGAAAAAGATATGATAGCCTCAAGAAGAGCGTGACAAGAACTTCCTAAACGAAGACAGTTTGGATGACAAGTTAGTGAAGGACCATGAAATACTAATGGGCTAGGTAAGCTAGGTGGGGGGTCTCCAGTACCAGGTAGAGGGTCAGGATGAGAAGTACCGGAAACAGCATGAACAAACAATCTTTGGAGTAACCAATTGATTAAAGGATGGATGATAAGCCCTTCAGGTTGAGCGAAACCCGGACGCAATCGAGGCCAACAGGCAGAAGCGATATATACAGCCAAACGAGGTTCAGGAAAAAGTCGTTGAAATTGTCTATTTCTCTGTCTTTCAGTTGATGACGAAATAATCCCACCCAAAGTAACTCTGCGTCGATAAAGACAAACTGAGGAATCGTATTCTTCCATGCTTCCAGTGAACTGAGCAAACTGCAAAATTTCTGAAGCTAGATGGTGAAGGTATACATTGGGTACCAGTGATGGATGAAGAGCTGGTTGACTTACCAAAAGATCAACAAGTGATTGTTCGTTTGTTATTGGAACTGTACATACATGTTGCAAAACTATGTTAGTTAGATTGTCAAGTTCCCTTGTTTCTACCTCCAAGCCAGGAGCACCAGATATAAGAGGAGATGTTACCGCAGCGTCATAATATCCGATGTCCTCCGAATTTTCGCGACTTCTCTGCGAAGTATGAGAAACGTCATAAGCAAGCCATGGGGCAATAACACGTAACTCACGACGGACAAATGATGCAAGTCTGTGTCTGTGAGTTTCATTTGTTGCTAGAAACTCTGGACTGATATCCCGTGTGAGATTGGACCTGTATATGTGCAAAAAGTAAAGCTGATCAGTGAAAGTAAGTATTGAAGAAATGTATGGTATATAGGACTGCATTTTAGCGGAAGTAGCTAGAAAGCGTTGGAATCTACTATTAGAGAATTGAAAAATAATAATTGGTCGTAATAACGGAAAAGAAATATAACACTAAACAGACGAACATGAAATCTTTATTTACACTGAATCAGTTCCATCCACTTCGTCGGACTAATTTAGATAACAATTAATCAACAATTATTATGTAGCAACAAATCGGTATAAAATGGCGAGAAATTATCGTGCAATTTCATTGAGGAAACAAGAATTCATTCTTCTGACCGCATGTGGGACGTTGAGAAAATTTAATAAAGTCAATAACGCCGAGGGACTTAGAGGTCTGTAGGAAGATGATAGCATTTAATGAAAACGAATGTCTTTCATTTTGCACAGGAGAAATGTTTAATTAAACTATATTGATTAAAACAGTAAAGACTGATTCCGCGAAAAGTTATTTTTAGGCGAATTCATTTTCAAAGCTGCACAATCACAAACGTACTTTTCCCATGGGGACAATAAGAATAATGGTGGTTTGTCAGTCAGTTACAACATAGAAATTCGCACGTACGTACATGAGTTTGAGGTTGCCATGCCACATTAGCACAGACGCAATTGTCACTTCAAATACAACAGTGGTTCAGATAGTAGAAGTAGAAAATTTTAGACACTGTATTAGGCAAAACTTTTTCTTAGTGAATGTCACAAGAGGACTTTCGTCCTCGCTTATATACTGGGACAATCAGGGATTGAGATTAGTCAAATGGGATAACGCTCAGTTCCCAGATTCTACCTAAGATCTCAGTCAATCTAGCTGCTAAAACTGGACCACCATCCTTAAAAATATCAGAGGTTAGCCTATCAGGACCCGCTGCTCGCCCTTGCTTCAGATTTCCTATTTCTTTTTCAACTTCATAAAGAGTCGGAGGACTTACATCGATTTGCCATCCAGGATGACTGGAGATCGTGGGTAACCGAAGTGTTGCTGAAGGCCATTTGAACTGATCCCTAAAGTGTTGTGCCCATCGATCCAATCTCCTGCATTGAGAATGAATAATAAGACCATTCTTTTCTGGGATGGTTTCGTTAACAGATGGATTTCTAATACCGGTTTCCTTGATGAGTCTGAATGGTTGCCTACTATTGCCTGTCGCCGCTGCCTTTTCCATCGCTCCTGATCTCGCTACTCACCACTATTAACGATCATCGACTTCGCTCCTCATCGTATTCAGAGCCAGATGGGATGAGTTTACGAGCATCTATCATTTCGATAGATGCTTCTGAAATCCATTGCTTCTCCTCAACCTTATGGTTTACTTTGCCAGCAAGTGTCACTGCTGTTTACACAGCCTCTGATGGACTCCAGGCGCAGACTACCAACTTGAGCATTAAAGTCACCAGCCATTATTACTATATCAGAGTGCCTAACTTTTTGTAGGAGGTCCGGAAGCTATCCGTAAAACTCATATTTCACCTCTTCTGAACTGCAGTCAGTGAGAGCGTAGGCAGATACGACGAAGGGTCAATAGCGAGTGTCCCTATCTTAACGAGTCCTTACTGTCTCGTTTAGTCTGACAGTAAACAAACCACTGTCTACTGGGATCCATTCTAAGAGAGCTAGTCCTGCACTAGGATTCAGTGCGATGGTATTAATTGGACAGTGATCGCAAATAAAATCACCATTGACATGGAAAACTACATAACAACCAATAAATCCTGGAGTAATATCAATTTAGAAAACACATATTGGAAGACACTTACTCTTGCGGAACAGGGATAGAATCAAGACAGCAAATATATACTAGCTGTCGAAGTAGCAAACTATCTAAGAGTGAGGAAGTGCTAGATCGAAGAGCATTATCAACCAAAATTGTTAGAAGCGACCGACGGTTTTCTGCTGATCTACACGAAGACAACAAAAACACATCAACCGATAAGTTTACAATCAGGAAGTATCTACACACTTTTAAATAGAAAAATATACTTGGCAAGAGTAAAACCTCGTACACAAATCTCTGGGATCCATAGAGAAAGTAGTCACTCTATTGGTCTTTCGTAGTTCCGACTACTACGGAGATTGAATCTCAAATCTCAGTTACGTGTCCACTATTTCAGTTGCACCAAGTTGTTACAAACGTATTCAAACTGAAATTGTTTGAACTAGGAGTTAATCATGAGTAGATTTGGATAGGATTTCAACGTTTTGCGTCTACCGACTTTAAGAGGCAGTAAGCTCACCTACTTTGTATTGAGAATTGATACCGCCAATTCAAGTGTTTTGGTAGGTGGAGATTTCCAGTTCCTCTACGTTACACTAATGTGTGAGTGATACATTTCACTGTTGTCAAATAATAGTCAACCAGTTATTTCTGAAAGATTACCAGCCACAGATTGAGTCTGGTTATGGGAAGAAATGTGGCTCGTCGTGGTTTGAATGTTTTTTGGGTTTACAAAAGTAGATACTTTATTCATGTGAAGTAAGGCTTTGAGTATGAAGTCCTTTAAATCGATCATTCATACTACATTCTCAAATATTTCGGTGATGTGGAAATGTTTGAGACTGACGCGGTAAACAACTGTTCTTATTTAGTATTGTGGAGATCACCGCCGAACTTCAACACAAGAATTGCGTTAACTCAAATAACCAACAACCAGTGATTAGCATACTGATCATCTGAACTCGTCCGATCTGTCGTATGATTGTGGTGTTATGGCTACTTTTGCTACATCTCTCGAGCCATCATAATTAAATGAATCATCGCTTCCTCCAGTATACCATTTACTATTTATTTAAACACTTCTCTTTGGGACTTACCTATGGACGGAAACAAATTCGGTGCACTTTAGTGGCTCATCAAGATTCACCGATCGATCCACTTTAGAGTTCACTTTAGTTTGGTTGATGACTTACATCTGTTACCGCTCGTAGGGCATGACAACTTATAATTAACAAAAACAATCATTTTACATTGCGTTAATTGACTGAATTTATTTTTCAGGATTTTGGTTAATAAAGAGTACGTGATTACTACGATACATACAAAACGACTTTTCCAAATAAAGAGAATATAGAAAACTCACCCTAGTTCCGGATTCCATCGGTATGACATATGTGGTGAAGTATCAAGAATATTGACCGCTCTTGATTGAGACATAGAAGTATCAGATGGAAAAAGAATTGGAGGTATAAATAACGAAGTGCCATCTGACGGTGAACGAGTTACGCCATCGAGATAATTGAGTAAACGCACTTGGTGTGTACCTAAATGATGGTGATAGTGGTAGTGATGGTGTGATCGTGGAATAGTAGTGTCCTCTGGTGATGCATTTAAATATTCATCATCTAAGTGAAATGTAGCGGATATATTATTCACTCGATTACGTCGATTATTATTTGGTAAATCAGATACTAATAACTCAGTGAATTCTGTATCAGACAGAACAGAATGAATAATTTTTTGAGCTAAACGTTTACATAATGGACAAGAAGGATTGATGCAGAGCCAACGATATATACAATCATAACAAAATGTATGCATACACGGTAAAACAACACAACGATTCGATTTTTCACATAAACAAATTACACAATCGTCATCACTTTCAAGACCAGTGGATCTAGCCGCTGCTAATGCCGCCCGAACATCTGGGCAATCAATAAGACTTTGAGACCGCCTACTACTGTTTGTGCGTAATGGATGGTTGCCAGATGGAATATTCGTGGAAGGTACGGAACGCGAGTTTGTTGCTGACAAGCGACGTGTAGCTCTTCTTCCAGACCTGGTGGTACGTAAACGTCCAGGTCTGTTACTGGAATCAAGGTCTTCAGTGTGAGTTAACTGGATACTATCATCGTTAAAACTTTCGAGATTTATTCTGACACTTTCGGCGGTTGACTCATTTTGATATGAAGGACTTCCATGAGAGGAAAATAAAAGCTCAAAAAACGGAGGACGAACGAAAGTACGGCGACGACTTCGGCGAGGAAGAGAAGCCGGAACATTGGGATTGCTCGGTCCTAAGTTATCCGAAATACCACGGCTACGTGATCTTGGGTTAGCACTAGAACGCTGCAAATTACATAGAATACAGTGCATAAACATGAAGTAACAACAAAGTGTGTAAAAAGTAAGCAACTTTAATAAACTCTATAATCTCAGATCAGTTTGTTTTTGAGAATTGGGGAAAATGATCAAGTACTTAAAAACCAGAATTAGAGTTCAATCAATCAATGAATCAATCAATAACAGCGTAAAACTACGAACGTACACCAGTTCAAGTTGCCATACCACATTAACACAGAGATGCAATTGTCAATTCAAATCCCATAGTAACAGAGGTAGTAAAAGTATTAGCAGCAATCGGAGACATTACGATTAGATATTATTCAAGACATCGAATCTAGTAAATTAGACTTATCAAAATTAAATGATGACGAATTAAAAGTTTATGATTTGAGAGGACATAAAGAATGAATGCATCTGCGCCATTGCAAACGGTTTTGAGCCATGTCATCCAGGGTCTCTAACCACCGATTACTATCATCTTGCGGGCCCCAACCAGCTAGTTGACATCTACCGGCATGACTCAATCCACCTGTGAGCGACTTTATGGATTTCTGCCATGTTTAAAATTAGAGTTATACAGCTTTATGCAATCTCAATATCGATGTTATACAATGATGGGTATTTAGTATAGAAGACCTTGTTTATTCCAAGTAAACGAGTTGAGAAATACAGTAGTAATTTCCTGGTCAGTCCATATACTACAGTAAAAATACATTAAAGAGCTACAGTAGGAGGTTTAAGAATAACAAAGGTGACTGAGGAAAGTTAAGAGTTAATTGGTAGAGGGAGAGAAAATTAAGATTTGTTTAGGTTTCGATCTACTGCAAACTAGAATACTGTGCATAAGTATACACTCTAATGATACCTGACAAAAACTAAGTTAAAAAAGTAAATGTCTTAATCGAATAACAACATATAAAAGATGAAAAAAAATGACTCAGAAAAACATGAACTAACTTAGCGAGATATTTATTACAAGTAAAATGTTTAAGTTTGGGTTTTAGGTTTGCGAACATTTTTAGACCATACAAGAACAAGCCATTCAGAATACAATTCATTTAAGTATGATTTACGTAACCAGCCTTAGAGCAGTCACACCAAAATTCCCGAAGTTACTAGTACTACTTTGTTCTCCACTTACTATGTGAGCGATAGTTTGGTCGGAACACTGACATGTCATTATGACCAGTTTAACTTGACCAATAACGCTTGTAGTTCAAATAAAGACCTCAATGATTTTCACGGTGATTGCTATACAAGATAATATAGTGGTGAAAATTGTAATTTCATATGCAGGGAAAGTTCTTTACTCGTTTAGAAATAGTAATTAGATAAACAAAATAAAAAAAAACTTATCAGTACTGTAGCAGTAGTGCTAAGCTGCAATTTAAATGGTACTGAGAACGAGATAATGACACTAATTGTACCCATGTACCCATACCGTGGCATGTTGCAAATTGAGCATCACTCACTGATAACTGAATAGCTTTATTCATATTATGATACAGTAGAACTCAAAATGCTATTTGTTTCACATATGAATGATTCAAAAACTGAAGTCACTCTTCATTTAGTGTTATGAAAACTCTACTATCATCCACATAATTATCAAACAATATCTAGATAAATTTAAGTAACACACTACTGATACACAAACATTGAGTATAACATCACAAAAATAGTTAAACTATAAAGACATTTCATGAAGGGTCAGGACAGAATAAAATTGGCTACAAATGTTTACATTAATATTGGCTCAGGTAACGCTCGTACAATAAAGAATTATTTATTTATTTATTTAAACACACAAAACAATGGTAAAATGGGGTACCTAAATATTTGTGTCACACGAATAATTAAGTTTATACCCATGGTAGCCGGTGATCAGAAATAAGTTCAAACGTTATTTTTTCTCTTAGAACCCATGTGCACCACTGTCTCGGACCTGAGGTTTTTCAACTATCCCACATGGACCACCCAAACTCACCAACGTGGTTCAAGTGTCTAACATTCGCTCTTCGTCTTCTCAGTTACTAACAAATCGACAGTGTCTTGTTGATAACTTAGTATTCAAAACTACCAATTTTATAAGGGAAATAAGAGAAAACTAACCTGGGAAAGATGATTAGAACGGTCTATTCTACGAATCTGGCGTGTCCGTCTTGTAAGTGGAGGTGGTGAACGTGACGAATTACTAGATGATGATGAAGAGATAAATGAAACTCCAACGGGCCTTGATCGACTCAGTATACGAGAATGCAATGTATCGATAGTAACCTCTGGACAGTCAACATGCTGAACAGTATCTGTTGTTCCAACATCACCCTGACGTCTGGAGGCATGAGGCAAAGCTGCAGCTCGGCGTCGGCCATACATGATCCGAAAAATATGTGTAGTAGAGCACAAGATAGGTACTAAACTTTGGGACTAGACTATAGAAAGCATAAACGAGAGTTAGATCGTACGATATGACAATCAAAAGAAAGAAGATTTTAAGAGATAAGTAACTAAGTATTTATTTGGATTTCGAATAATTAATGAACAACAGAAATGATTTATATTTTTCAAGGAAATCCAAAATTCAGATTACAGAGTTAACAATTTCATTTAAATAACGCAGTGATACAGCAAAAAATATAGTGTAATTCAAAAGATAAAGAAAACTGTAAAACAGAGTGGTTTAGAAGTGAAGATGCAACGTAACAAAAACTCTCCAAACGAATACGATTGTTTAACATATGTAATACTTATAATGTTTCAGCCCAAGGATTTTCGTTTAGAAAAGCTTGCACAACCTCCCTCATAGACAAATTTGGTATAAGCTGATCTTCTACCAGAGGCTGACGTGAAACAGGATCAAAATGTCCAACTTGGCGCAGGTGAGATATGATTGACGGCCGGTCATATGTAATTCCACAAGGTGTAATGACAGGATCTCTCATTAGATCAAAACTAATACGACCACAAAGATAATCTGGAACCTCACGTTTTTTTCGACGTTCATCCACCTATAAAACAGTAAGTAACTTACAATTTACTTATTTTGTATGCCAAGTACAAAACAAAAATTGGCTTGTTACGGCTGCTTAGTGAACTAAGGAAAGCATTTTTATTATTTCAGTAGTAAATAATACCAATTCGCAATTCTTATTCGTGATTACATCTCATTTCGGAACATTCCATTAGGATGATGTATGGAAGTGACAGAAGGAAATCAATTAGTATTTAACCCCAAAACACATCAGTAAATTGCTAGATACATGGAAATAACAACCTACGAAGTATTGTGTTCAGACTGATTATATATTTGTTCAAGTTATTATGATTGTTGCATTTGAGGTGCTTTTGTGTTACTTGACGTAGAGAAATTCTTCACAAAAGCACAATGATAACACAGCAAACTAAAAGACCTGAAAGTTATAATCGGTTCTTTCTGAAAAACCATTTCATGAAAACTGCAATATCATTCAGAAACATATACTTTGGCTAGCGCAATAACGAGAATAAAAATTATTTGCGGAGATTACAGTACAAGTAACATAATTTCATAGACATTGTTTGTATATATTTAGCTTATTAGCTGATCATTAATGAAAAATCAGTACTTCATAAGACAGATTCTGATTTCTTATGAAGGAATCTAAATATCCATTGAAATTTGATCAGATTTTCAGGTAGTGGTTGTCTTCAAATGAAATAAGCGATTTCAAAAGTTACTTCACAGCTCCCACTGCGATACTGACGACGAATGGTTAGTAACTATACAACGCGAACTGATGTTGTGGTGCGAGCTACTTATAAGTAGTATATGACGTGTGTCAACGTAATGTCTGGCAGAAGAAGATGGGGGAAGATCAAGAAAGGAAGAGTTAGAACGCAATGGAATTTGTATGAAGCGCATGAATAGTGACAATGGATTGATGTTTTGCAACAGGAACAGTCCAGTTCTATATGATGGATTGATATCTTGCAAATTAACGATTTACGATATGGTTTTCCTATTTTACTGAGTAACTCTGTAATTTTCGTTAAATACAATTCGGTTTCCCCCACCTGTGTTCTCGTTCACTACAATGTTTGAAATACGTGGGAAATTTAAGATTAATAGGACAGATGAAGCACCCCATTCCTAGTGAAAATAGTACAGCTGAAAAGTAGCTGCATACATCTATTGCTAATTATGCGCACACGCTCGTTTACTATACGGTGGTTATATGTGTATGGCTACTTCACATATTAAAAACCACCTGGTTGATAGAAGTATTTCACATCTAGAATTTTTTTTTGAACGTGACATGTTTCCAAAATCCGATTACCGAGAACCAGCGTTGAAAGTATGCGATCACGAAAATAAAACACGATGCAGTATCGAAATTCTTGGTACAATATAATTACCTACCTTACTGAATAGTTCATTAAGCTCTGAAATGTATTTTTGAGCAGTATTATCTATTTTTGAAATAATTTCTTGATGCTGTTGTGGGATGTTTTCAAGATCATGATCTCCCACTGATAACGAATTAATAGACACGTTTTCAGCTGATTCAATTTTTGGAAGAGAACCATTGGTTCCAGCGGATTTAGATAAAACTACTTTTTTTTGGCGGGCAGCATCTTCCAAAATTAAGTTATTCAAGTATACCTGCGTTAAAATAGATTATTTGAACTCTATTAGTACTTTGACAGATAGGAAAAGTTGAAAAGTATAATGGATATAGGTAATAAGATTTTCATTCACAAAAGTTTTTACGTCAATCCAAAAATATAAACGATAAACTGATGATGATAATTCAGCTATCTGTATCAGCTGATATTCAATAAATGCGTTTGATTTATTGAACAAAAACATTAAATTTTTTTTCAAGAGATAACTGGGATACATTTATCAGGTAGAAGTATATGTGCTGAGATTTGAGGTATGAAATCTATATGTTTGATAAGTAGCCTTTAGCAACATTATGTGACTCCTCAAACCATTTGATAATTTTAATATTATCAACACATGACAACGTCAATGGATGATAAAGGACCGTTACATTATAAGTAAACCGTACCATTATGTTAGCAACATTGTACAGATCAATTAAAATGACCAAAAATATCACTTCTCGACCGTGTATCACTTAGAAGATTCAAAGCCAGTCAGTCAGTTACCAGGTAGAACTTGGTACTTACATCAGTTCAGATTGCGTACTGCATTAGCACAGAGTCGCAAATGTCGCTCCAATTCCCATAGTGATAGAGATAATAGAAATATTAGCAGTCAAGTCAGTCAGTCAGTCAGATGCAACGTAGAACTTCGTACGTAAGTACATCAGTTCATGTCGCCATACCACATCAGCACACAGATGTAATTGTCAATTCAAATCCAATAGTAGAAGAGATAGTGAAGGTATTAGAAGTAATCGGAGAAGTTAGGATTAGAAGATAATATTCAAGAAGTATGATTCAGTGAGAAAAATTTAGAAAGTCAAAACTAGAGGGGTTGAAGAATCCAGAAGATTAGCATTTGAGAGAACACAGAGAATAAATGCACCGGCGCCATTGCGAACGATTTTGAGCCATGTCATTCAAGGTCTCTAACCATCGATTATTATCATCTCGCGGACCCCAACCAGGTAGTCGACAATTACCGACATGGCTAAGTCCACTCGTCAATGATTTCATGGATTTCTGCCATGTTTTGGTTTGGCCGCCCCTAACTTTCTTCCAACCTACTCCTATACGACAAAACAAAGCTCTTCGAGGCAGTCGGTGGTTAGGCATACGCAACATGTCCCAACCACCTCAACTGATGAAGTTTCATTACTTCATCTATTGATCTGCCATTCTTGCCTAGCACCCGATTCCTAATAACAGCGTTGCTCACTCGGGTGTCCCAGGATATACGAGCAATGCTTCGAGTCAAGTAGAAGATTGGGATTTAAAAATATTACTCAAGAAGTATATTCTAGCGAAATAAACTTGAAACAGAAAACATATGAAGAATATAGTATGTTAGGATTTCAGAGAATTCAACGAATCAATGCACCTGCACCATTACAAACAATTTAGAGACATGTCATTCAAGGTCTCTAACCATCGGTCATGCGCACCACAAACAGGTAGCCTACACCTACCAACATGACGAAGTCCAATTGTCAACGAATTAATGGATTTGTGCCCAGTAATGCTTCGAAGACCCCTAAAGTCGAATACTAATGACCTACGAATATCCTCTAATCTTACCGGCCATGTTTCGCATCTATGTAGCGGGACCCAGCGAAATGCTGCGCAGTAGATTCATCCTTTGGTTAGCAAACGGATATCTCGCCTATGCCATAAGTGACGCAGATTGGCAAAAACCAATCAAGCCTTCTGCATCCGTGCTGAGATTTCGTCAGTCATCAGGCCATCATCACTGGTGGGACTCCCGAGATAAGTGAAGCGGTCAACACGCTCCACTACTTTACTCCCTATCACTAGTTCTTGTGCCGATGCAAGCCAATCCTGAAGCCAAACTTTGCATTTCGAGGGGGAAAACCCCATCCCAAACATGCTTGCATTGTTCCTTAGGGTTATCGTAAGACTGCATTTTTTCAGCGTCTTTAACGTTTACAATTATGTCATCAACATACTGTAAGGCAGCAGGCGTGTCTCCTGGTAAAACATCCACTCCTGAAAGGTCAAACGAGGAAAATTTTAACTAAAAACTTGTCTACGATGAAGTTAAATAATAATGGACAGCTCTGACAGACACCACTTGAAGTAATCACTTATGATGACAGTTTACCATAAGCTCGCGTACGGCGGCAGTATAAGGTTAATGTACTTCTTTGGTACACCGTTTTAGGACAGACACTGCCATAGAACCTCACAATCAACGGAGTAGAATGTCGTTTTAAGGCCGAGAAATACTACTATTGTGGGGCGTCTGAACGTGTGTCTTTGTTCTAGGACCTGACGTAGTGTGAATATTTGGTCTATGCATCCAAGTTCAGGTCAAAATCACCGTCGTTTTCTCTGGTCTCCTCTTCACGAGCTGTCATTAAGGGCCGGAGTATTATTCATACCAATATTTTCGATACTATATTACTTACAATTATTCCCCTGTGATTGTCACAAGAAGAGTTTCGTCCTTTCTTATATACTGGGACAATCAGGGATTGAGATCAGTCAAATGGGATAACGCTCAGTTCCCAGATTCTACCTAAGATCTCAGTCAATCTAGCTGCTAAAACTGGACCACCATCCTTAAAAATATCAGAGGTTAGCCTATCAGGACCCGCTGCTCGCCCTCGCTTCAGATTTCCTATTTCTTTTTCAACTTCATAAAGAGTCGGAGGACTTACATCGATTTGCCATCCAGGATGACTGGAGATCGTGGGTAACCGAAGTGTTGCTGAAGGCCATTTGAACTGATCCCTAAAGTGTTGTGCCCATCGATCCAATCTCCTGCATTGAGAATGAATAATAAGACCATTCTTTTCTGGGATGGTTTCGTTAACAGATGGATTTCTAATACCGGTTTCCTTGATGAGTCTGAATGGTTGCCTACTATTGCCTGTCGCCGCTGCCTTTTCCATCGCTCCTGATCTCGCTACTCACCACTATTAACGATCATCGACTTCGCTCCTCATCGTATTCAGAGCCAGATGGGATGAGTTTACGAGCATCTATCATTTCGATAGATGCTTCTGAAATCCACTGCTTCTCCTCAACCTTATGGTTTACTTTGCCAGCAAGTGTCACTGCTGTTTACACAGCCTCTGATGGACTCCAGGCGCAGACTACCAACTTGAGCATTAAAGTCACCAGCCATTATTACTATATCAGAGTGCCTAACTTTTTGTAGGAGGTCCGGAAGCTATCCGTAAAACTCATATTTCACCTCTTCTGAACTGCAGTCAGTGAGAGCGTAGACAGCTACGATGAAGGGGCAACGGAGAGTTTCACTATCAGGGCTGCCAGATACACGAAGAGTAAATCAAGCTGCTTCATTTTGACATGGTGAGGTCAAATGAATAACGCTACTCGGATCTTGTATGCGCGTTTTCGAGACGCAGCACACATACATGTCGCAGAGGTTCTAAAGTCCTAGCTAGGGAAGCCTTTTGCCCCATTTGACACTATGCCCGGCCATCAAAAACTCCAACATGTAATTTAGAACGGGGGTTTCAGGAGACGTTTCGGGAACTCACATCGTTTGCATTAGTAGTTTAGCGTGATAGAGGAATGTGAGAAGAGTTAGTCGTGAAGATAAGAGAGATGTTAGGGGTGTAGGAAGGATTTGTTTGCGACTGATTTGGTCTCGTATGTTTTTACGTGTATGAGAGTGGATGTTACTTCCCGGATGTCCACACCATGGAAGGGTTTTCTTGAGGAACCTGAAAAGGAAGGTAGATTAGTGTTGATCATAGAGACCTGGGAGTGTGACCGCAGAGCCCAACGGACAACTGCTTAAGGACGGCCACGCACGGCGTTTTTATGGGTAGTTATTGAAGTGTTGGCTCCGCTCTTGTTTAAAAGGCCTTACCATTGGAGACAGAAATCTGTGAGGTGTGAAATTTTTAGGGTCGACCTTTTCTAACCCTTCCTTCCTTGTGAGAAGGCAGCATCGCTGCAGATGCTGGTTGTCCGAGGGAAACACCTTACTGCCGTCACACCCCTCTACAGTCAGCAGTACGACTTCTCCCTCAGACCTTGAGTAGGTGCTTTCAGTCTCATCGTTCTCCAATCGACCTGCCTGGCATGGTAGAACCTTCAGGAACATATTTTCCAGCCAATATAGCTCGGTTGGGTCATCACGATAGGCAAGCCCGACCAGCACGTCGAACTAAAATCTACGGTTGGGACAAAGATATAAAAGTCTTCATTAGGAACGCAAGATGATGAAGTGTGTTGTTTATAAGTTATATTTCAAACAAATGTATACTAAGAAAATGAAGCTGAATACTTAGGCGTACTTCTCAACAAAATAATTTTAATTTCGGAATTGCCTACAGTATGAATGTTTGCTTAGTTGAGGCAGATCAAATCTAAACAAACTCACAAGGCTGAGTGAGCATAAAAAGCGAAAGTACGCCTTCTGAGATGCCACTGTTATCGTGTCTATTTACTACCATCTTTAATTAACAATACCATTACTTGTAAAGAAATTTCTTCTTTTTTTCTATCTTCATCCATAGCTTCAAAACGTTTTCTTCGAGCCAGTCGGATAACTGAAGTTATATCATCTCCGAAGTTACGGTGTTGTTCCAAAGCTAAATTATGAGCATGGACAAGTTTTGTTAATGCTTCTTCATATTGGTTTAAACCTAAATGCGCTTGTCCAGCAAAGAAGTGAGCTTTTAGATTATTTTGATCTAAATCGATTGCTTTTCTGTAGGAAGTTAAAGATAAAAAATAAACACAACTGAATTGCATTATGAAACGGCAAGTTTTTTCTAGTATATATTCAATATAAAGGTGACTGAGTATGTCTTGTAAATCAATTAGTGTTCGGAATGATCATTACAAAAAGGTAAACAATGCTGTGGTTCAAAGTCTAATCTATATTTACGTTTTGGATCGATTCCGAAAAGAGGATGTCTAATGTTTCTAGACATTTAGAGATAAGAGAGTGTGAACTTTCAGGTAGCATAAACTCGTATGGTCGGGAATAGGGGTAACCAAACCTTTAAACTGTTTTATCTTTTCTCATCTAACAGAAAGCTAATATCGAATCACAATAGGGTTTTCTTCCGTTTCATACCAAGTCTCAAAAAATTTATTAAAAGATGTAAGGTTGTTCAGTTTTAATGAGATTAGATCGAAGAAATGAGACCAATAAGTTTAAAATAAATACATACAGCCTGTTTGTTTGTTCGAAATCGAGTCATCCAGAATCTCAACAGAATGGCTACACCAGATACAGGATAATCTCCAAACAAACGGGTCGAATCTACATGTAAAATTAGAAATTAACTGACCAAAATGTGTTGCTCAAGGGTTTATCAGAAACTAAACAAATGGGGAATAAATCGATGCGGTGATAATATTCGATTTATTTGTAACATACAAAATTCTTGCTTCGGTAGAGCAAACAGTGCTACATTATTGATATATTTTGTAGAATAGGGAAAGGTCAAGTAAATGGTAAATAAATAAATAAGGTTAGTGGTTAAAAGCACAGTTCATTTATAAAGACCCCAATCAGAGATGGTTAATCATGTTCATAAGAATGTATAATAAAACTACAACTCCGCTAGTAGAACCTTCGGGTCTACTGCCGGTCCCAAGCCCGGGTAAGGGAGGATGGTTGGACATGGGGTTGGCGACCCCATTCCGTCAAAAACTAACTTGCTAAAAAAACGCCAACCAGAAAAACTAATTCAAACCATTTTCACTCTGCCCTGGGAGTTGGAAGAAAAATTACGACGTCGCGTGATGAAAGCCGAGTTCCCTCGGAACTCACGAGGCTGATACCCCTTCTGACAACCAGAGCAACCACTCGTTTAGGTACATGGAACGTTCGTACTTTGTGGGAGACTGGAAGACTATTTCAAGTTGCGGCAGAAATGAAAAGATACAACCTCGAGGTGCTCGGCATCAGTGAAACGCATTGGACACAGGTAGGACAACTGAGACTAGCTTCAGGGGAACTGCTGTTATACTCTGGTCATGAAGAGGAAAATGCTTCACATACACAAGGAGTTGCACTGATGCTGTCCAAACATGCACAAAAGGCACTGATAGGATGGGAATCTCATGGACCCAGGATCATTAAAGCATCCTTCAAAACAAAGAAACAGGACATTACAATGAACGTCATCCAATGTTATGCACCTACCAAATACCATAGTGACAACATTAAAGATCAATTCTACGAAAGGCTGCAGTCAATCGTCGAGAAATGTTCACCAAAGGACTTGACGATTCTTATGGGAGACGTGAATGCAAAAGTTGGAATGGACAACACTGGATATGAAGACATCATGAGACGACAGGGACTGGGAGAAAGGAACGAAAATGGTGAGAGATTTGCAAACCTATGTACCTTCAACAAACTGACAATCGTCGGAAAAATATTCCCACACAAACGCATACACAAAGCTACATGGATTTCACCGAATCACACCACTCAGAGATCCAAATTGATCATATGTGTATCGATTAAGAGTTCAAAAGGAGCATGTGAAACGTGAGAACCAAAAGAGGAGCTGATATTGCCTCAAATCATTATTTGTTCGTCGCCACAATGAAACTGAAACTCAAGAGACGCTGGAAAATGGGGCGGAAAACATCACACAAGTTTAATACGGCCTTTCTTCAGGATACTGACAAACTCAACAAATTCAAGATAGCCAGCCATCAACAATAGGTTCCAGGCTGAATACACAAAAGCAAACAAGCAAGTGGGGAAGAGCATCAGAGCCGACAAAAGTAAATATGTAGAAGATCCAGCAATGACGGCGGAAAAGGATGCAAGAGACGGAAACTTGAGACAATTGTACGAAACAACAAAGAAGCTCGCCGGGAACTATCGTAAACCAGAACGACCAGTGAAAAGCAAGGAAGGCAAAGTAATCAGCAACACTGAAGAACAGCGAAATAGGTGGGTAGGGCATTTTAAGGAACCCCTGAATCGACCAGCTTCACTGAACCCACCCAACATCGAAGCAGCATCTACGGACCTCCCAATTGATGTTGGGGCACCTACAATTGAAGAGATCAGTATGGACATCAGACAAATCAAGAACGGCAAAGCAGCAGGACCAGACAACATTCCAGCAGAGGCAATGAAAGCAGATGTAGAAGCAACTGCGAAAATATTTCACATTCTCTTCAAGAAGATTTGGGATGAGGAACAAGTACCATCAGATTAGAAAGAAGGATACCTGATCAGAGTAACAAAGAAAGGCGGTCTCAGCAAGTGTGAGAACTACACAGGCATCACTCTTCTTTCAAATCGAGGCAAAGTCTTCAACAGGGTATTGTTAAACAGAATGAAGGACTTCGTAGACGTCCAACTACGAGATAAACAGGCTGGATTTCCTAAAGATCGATCGTGTACCAACCAAATTGCAACATTGCGGATCATTGTGGAACAATCAATTGAATGGAACTCACCACTCTACATCAACTTCATCGACTACGAGAAAGCATTCGATAGCGTGGATAGGAAAACACTGTGGAGGCTTCTTCGACACTATGGCGTGCCTGAGAAAATAGTTAACATCATAAGGAATTCTTATGATGGATTCAACTGCAAAATCGTGCACGGAGGTCAGCTGACAAACTCGTTCGAGGTGAAGAGCGGTGTCAGGCAAGGTTGCTTAGTCTCACCCTTTCTCTTTCTCCTGCTCAGCGACTGGATTATGAAGACGTCGACATCTGGAGGGAAACACGGTATCGAATGGACAGCCAGGATGCAGATGGATGATCTGGATTTCGCAGATGACTTGGCTCTTCTATCGCACACTCAACAACAAATGCAAGAGAAGACGACCAGTGTAGCAGCAGCCTCTGCAGTAGCAGATCTCAACATACATAAAGGAAAAAGCAAAATTCTCCGATGCAACAAAACATGCACTAACCAAATCACTCTTGATGGAGATGCCTTGAAGGACGATAACTCCTTTACATAACTGGACAGCATCATCGACGAGAAAGGTGGATCCGGAGCAGATGTGAGGGCGCCGATTGGCAAAGCTAGGGCTGCATTTCTACAGCTGAAAAATATCTGGAACTCCAAACAAACCAATCAACACCAAAATCAGGATTTTCAATACAAATGTCAAGACAGTTCTACTGTATGGAGCGCCTGACTTCGCTCCTCATCGTATTCAGAGCCAGATGGGATGAGTCTACGAGCGTCTATCATTTCGATAGATGCTTCTGAAATCCACTGCTTCTCCTCAACCTTATGGTTTACTTTGCCAGCAAGTGTCACTGCTGTTTTCACAGCCTTTTTGATGTCGTTCACACCAGATCATGTTCTGAATGTAAACAAGTGCCCCAGAACGAGCGACATTCTCCTATCGAACAACCCCTCACCGGTGGCTAATAGCGATGTGATCTAGTTGTGTCCAGCGTTAGGAAAACTTTGGGGGCCGCCGTTTTAAAAGATGTTTTACCTGATGCTATAAGTTAGTAGTTACAAGAAAGTAGGACTACGTAGTCTGCATATTTGATGTTAGTCGACAAACAAATCTCCTGGTATAAGTTCAACTCCTGAAAAGTAAGATGATTTAAGTCAAATAGTTAAAGTAACCTTGTAATGAACCAAGACAGTGATTGTTGAACTGAGACAAGTGATATCCTAGGACCTGCGGGGATGTGATTAATATACTGAAGACTTCACTAAGTGTCAGACAGTAACTAATGAGCCAGTTCTTTACAGGTTTCGCACAAACTTTAGAATATGACGAATAAAATTATCCTTAAGGCAGTGAGACGGTGAACAGCATTCTGACAGTTGATGTATAGAACCATCTTACAGTCGAAAACGATTGATTAGTCAGAAAAATCATGAAAAATCGATACCTAACAACCCAAATAATCACCTATTAGGACGCTAAAACGAAACAGGTAAATTCCTAGTAAACCACTTACCATGTATTAAACCTTAGGATATGGTCTAAAAACGGTAGGGAAACGTTAAAAGAAATAGTATAACGGAGACAAAAATAATATATAACTTTTATTTATTCTCTGATGGACTGAAGCCCATAAGGATTTTCAGTAACTGTTACCTTAAGATGGTACTCAGGCTTGCCTATCCTGATGACCCAACCGAGCTATATTGGCTGGAAAATATGTTCCTGAAGGTTCTACCATGCCAGGCAGGTCGATTGGAGAACGATGAGACTGAAAGCACCTACTCAAGGTCTGAGGGAGAAGTCGTACTGCTGACTGTAGAGGGGTGTGACGGCAGTAAGGTGTTTCCCTCGGACAACCAGCATCTGCAGCGATGCTGCCTTCTCACAAGGAAGGAAGGGTTAGAAAAGGTCGACCCTAAAAATTTCACACCTCACAGATTTCTGTCTCCAATGGTAAGGCCTTTTAAACAAGAGCGGAGCCAACACTTCAATAACTACCCATAAAAACGCCGTGCGTGGCCGTCCTTAAGCAGTTGTCCGTTGGGCTCTGCGGTCACACTCCCAGGTCTCTATGATCAACACTAATCTACCTTCCTTTTCAGGTTCCTCAAGAAAACCCTTCCATGGTGTGGACATCCGGGAAGTAACATCCACTCTCATACACGTAAAAACATACGAGACCAAATCAGTCGCAAACAAATCCTTCCTACACCCCTAACATCTCTCTTATCTTCACGACTAACTCTTCTCACATTCCTCTATCACGCTAAACTACTAATGCAAACGATGTGAGTTCCCGAAACGTCTCCTGAAACCCCCGTTCTAAATTACATGTTGGAGTTTTTGATGGCCGGGCATAGTGTCAAATGGGGCAAAAGGCTTCCCTAGCTAGGACTTTAGAACCTCTGCGACATGTATGTGTGCTGCGTCTCGAAAACGCGCATACAAGATCCGAGTAGCGTTATTCATTTGACCTCACCATGTCAAAATGAAGCAGCTTGATTTACTCTTCGTGTATCTGGCAGCCCTGATAGTGAAACTCTCCGTTGCCCCTTCATCGTAGCTGTCTACGCTCTCACTGACTGCAGTTCAGAAGAGGTGAAATATGAGTTTTACGGATAGCTTCCGGACCTCCTACAAAAAGTTAGGCACTCTGATATAGTAATAATGGCTGGTGACTTTAATGCTCAAGTTGGTAGTCTGCGCCTGGAGTCCATCAGAGGCTGTGTAAACAGCAGTGACACTTGCTGGCAAAGTAAACCATAAGGTTGAGGAGAAGCAGTGGATTTCAGAAGCATCTATCGAAATGATAGATGCTCGTAAACTCATCCCATCTGGCTCTGAATACGATGAGGAGCGAAGTCGATGATCGTTAATAGTGGTGAGTAGCGAGATCAGGAGCGATGGAAAAGGCAGCGGCGACAGGCAATAGTAGGCAACCATTCAGACTCATCAAGGAAACCGGTATTAGAAATCCATCTGTTAACGAAACCATCCCAGAAAAGAATGGTCTTATTATTCATTCTCAATGCAGGAGATTGGATCGATGGGCACAACACTTTAGGGACCAGTTCAAATGGCCTTCAGCAACACTTCGGTTACCCACGATCTCCAGTCATCCTGAATGGCAAATCGAAGTAAGTCCTCCGACTCTTTATGAAGTTGAAAAAGAAATAGGAAATCTGAAGCGAGGGCGAGCAGCGGGTCCTGATAGGCTAACCTCTGATATTTTTAAGGATGGTGGTCCAGTTTTAGCAGCTAGATTGACTGAGATCTTAGGTAGAATCTGGGAACTGAGCGTTATCCCATTTGACTGATCTCAATCCCTGATTGTCCCAGTATATAAGAAAGGACGAAACTCTTCTTGTGACAATCACAGGGGAATAATTGTAAGTAATATAGTATCGAAAATATTGGTATGAATAATACTCCGGCCCTTAATGACAGCTCGTGAAGAGGAGACCAGAGAAAACGACGGTGATTTTGACCTGAACTTGGATGCATAGACCAAATATTCACACTACGTCAGGTCCTAGAACAAAGACACACGTTCAGACGCCCCACAATAGTAGTATTTCTCGGCCTTAAAACGACATTCTACTCCGTTGATTGTGAGGTTCTATGGCAGTGTCTGTCCTAAAACGGTGTACCAAAGAAGTACATTAACCTTATACTGCCGCCGTACGCGAGCTTATGGTAAACTGTCATCATAAGTGATTACTTCAAGTGGTGTCTGTCAGAGCTGTCCATTATTATTTAACTTCATCGTAGACAAGTTTTTAGTTAAAATTTTCCTCGTTTGACCTTTCAGGAGTGGATGTTTTACCAGGAGACACGCCTGCTGCCTTACAGTATGTTGATGACATAATTGTAAACGTTAAAGACGCTGAAAAAATGCAGTCTTACGATAACCCTAAGGAACAATGCAAGCATGTTTGGGATGGGGTTTTCCCCCTCGAAATGCAAAGTTTGGCTTCAGGATTGGCTTGCATCGGCACAAGAACTAGTGATAGGGAGTAAAGTAGTGGAGCGTGTTGACCGCTTCACTTATCTCGGGAGTCCCACCAGTGATGATGGCCTGATGACTGACGAAATCTCAGCACGGATGCAGAAGGCTTGATTGGTTTTTGCCAATCTGCGTCACTTATGGCATAGGCGAGATATCCGTTTGCTAACCAAAGGATGAATCTACTGCGCAGCATTTCGCTGGGTCCCGCTACATAGATGCGAAACATGGCCGGTAAGATTAGAGGATATTCGTAGGTCATTAGTATTCGACTATAGGTGTCTTCGAATTATTGCTCGTGTATCCTGGGACAACCGATTAAGCATCGCTGCCGTTAGGAAACGAGTACTAGGTAGGGATGGCAAACAAATAGATGAAATATTGAAACTTCATCAGTTTAAGTGGTTGGGACATGTGTTAAGTATACCCAAAACATGGTGCAAATCCATTTTTATACTGACATGTGGACTTCGTCATGTTGATAAGTGTAGACTACTTGAATGTGCTCCACGAAACATAGCATGCGGTGGTTAGAGACCTTGAATGACATGGCTCAAAATCGTTTGTCGTGGCGCAGGTGTATTCATTGTTTGTGTTCTTTCGAATCCTAACCTGAATTACTCATCACCTTTATTTTTTCTTCTTAAGCTCATTTCACTAGATTTGAATTCTTGAATAATATTTTCGAACAATCTCTCTGGATACTGCTAATACTTCTACTACCTATACTACTATCGGATTTGGAGCGACATGTGCGTCGCTGTGTTAATGTGGTATGTACGTAGGAAGTTCCACGTTGTAACTGACTGACTGACATTTGGCTTCAAACTAGGGCTCTTGTACTCCTCTAGGTAGACTATTTGGACGCTATCAACACCCGAATCAGATTCAAAGTGCAGGCTGATCACTTTCGAAACTTGACTCTTGTAACAAAACGCTACATGAAAGTGGTAAGTAGGACTTCTTTATGGAGGAATATAAATACGTGTCCGTATGAGAGTGTGTAAGATTAAAGAGTGTTAGGTCTTAAAAGATATGTAGACCATTAAGGCCATCGAAAGTCTCGCTCATAAAGTTATGTATTAGGTATTGCTCAAACCGCAAGAAAAGTCTTTGATTCATCCCAGGTATTATTTATTCACGGTTGGCGATTTTCGTTGTCTAGGAGAAAATTATGGGAGGATTAAAAATACCAAGTTATTATGTACAAATCTACGGCTCTTGAAATGCATTTCAATTCAATAGGGAAACATATTTTGTAAAAGCTTTAGGCATTATGTTGGAGTTTCGTTTTCTGAGCTGGATGGCTTGGTTGTAAAGCTTTCGTTGGTTTTTGGACATCATCAGTACAAACCTTAAATAAAACTATGAGAACACGATTAGCTCAGAGAATGAAACTCCACTAATACCAATCACCTAAGAAACCATTTTTTCACCATCTTACCATTAAAACGAAGTTTTACGGGCTTGACACAATTAACTCTATGGCTGGTCAGAGTACCAAGAAGAGAATTATCGTTTTCCCGAGAATAATTTCTAATATCTGCAGATCTAAGAGTTATGAATCTATTGATTTGAATTCATTATATGAGATTTACGAATAAAACGGGTTTGTTTTTGTAAAAATGGTTTAACTACTACATGTGCAACTAACATTTTATAGATAGTTGTTTTTGATGGGGACATTGGAACGTCAGTTGTAGATTCAAGAAAACAAAGTACTTTCTGTAAATAAGATAATACTCTGAGATTGTGGTTGGTTAGATTTGACATGTAAGTTTATTAACCCATTTGTTTACGCCAAAATACATGACTTATTAAAACATTTAAGACAATATACACAGAAACTGCTATATGAGAATAGTATTCTCCGATTGCATACTAGAGAAATAAAAACAATGGAGCATCACATCCTGTAAGATAAGACTAAGAGTATTTTAACCAACATTGGGAATATGACGTTTTACCAAAGTAATCCCACCATACGACTTAAACGTGAATCGAGACCAAAAGGATTGAGAAAAAAAGACTTTTCACTCGACTATATGCTTTATAATGTTCAAACAAAACTAGCGTTGTAATCATGAGGTCATTAGAATAACAGAATACATGTGTCTTCGTAAGCTTTACAGTTAACCTTCTATCACATTCTTCGTGATTTAAAATGATGCAGTTGTCAGTCTTAACCACCACCCAACACTTCAAGGCTTATATTATAGTGATTCAATGATTATTAGTACAGAGAGTAATTTCTTTCCATAGAATGAAAAAACGAATCAATCTCTTAACCAAGCTATCCGAATACATACGTAAGTTAATGTCTGAACAGAGTACTGATAACATTGAAATCCACAGAAATTTGTCATAATTGAGAGACGATCTAAATAATGCATTTCAAAGTTACACAAACCTGCAATCCAATAAAACTTTGGAATATTCTTGCATTTGAATATAACACAACGCCCTATTTGAATAGTACGACGAAATGCTTGGTTGTTGGGCAATGGCATGTGTATAGCACTGAACTGCTTCGTTATATTGACATGAGTTAAACAACTGATTTCCCATATCCTTCAATGACTGGTGAGTTAATCTGGATATATCAAGATCTCTAAAATTATTTGACATCGTTCAAATAGAATCCTGTTGATGTTAAATATAAAATGAAAAGTAGAGTGAGATTTTTGATTTTGATTTATATGAAAAACAGTAAATAGATAATTCGGATGAGATACGAAACGTTTTACTGGAAAGATAAATGGATGTAACCGATACCCTAACATAGACCCCGACCTAAAATTGATAAAAACTTGAAAGATAACATTGAGTTTTGATATACACGGTATTTTTCAGCTTACAGAAACAGCGTGGTACGGCAACCTGAACTGATATACGTACGTACGAAATCCTACGTTGTAACTGACTGACTGTAACATAGCGTGCAAGTGTTTCTTGATACGAAGAAGCTCAACGAGTTCAACATACTTCTCATCGACAACTTTCAAGCCTGATAAGCTCAATGGGAAGTAATATGAACAGAAACAGTTAAAGAAGCAATAGCTTCAACACCACAAGATATGCTGGGTCTCAAAAACCACTAGCATATGGAATGGATCCCTACAGATATCTTCTGCAAGGTCCAAGTAGGGAAAAACAAAACATCAGTCAACGCATAGGCCAAATGCACAAAAGCAAACAAACAAACCCAGAGCATTACAACTGACAAGCGGAAATATGCAGATCTGGCAAATATGGCAGGAAAAACAGTAAGCAAAAATATTGTGGAAGAACTGTATGATACAACAAAGAAGCTAGCAGAAAAATTTAGTCAGTAATAAACAAGAAGAACCAACCACTGAGTACCGACAAGAGAGGAACGGGTGGGCACAACACTTTGATGAGCTCTTAAACAGACAGACTCCACCGAACATCCAAGCCATATACACAGACCTTACTGTAGATGTTACCCTATCAATAATATGAATTAACAAGTCCATCCCTTAAACCAGGAATGGCGAGGCATTAGGACAAGGAAGCATATTGGCTGAAGCACTAGTCAGATATGGAAACAACTACTGAGATGCTCTACATTCTCTTCAGAAAGGTTTTGCAGGAATAACAAGTTCCAATAGGTCGGAAAGATAGACAACTTGGCAAGTGTGAGTACTACAAAGGAATAACACTGTTATCAGTACTAGGCAATTTCCTCAACTGAATCAGGGAGCCAGTAGACGACCAACTCCCAGATCAACAAGTTTGCTTTCGTAAGAATCAATCATGTATCGACAACTGTATCACAATACTGCAGATTACTGTAGAATAGTCAATTAAAAGGAAATCATCACCGTGCATCAACTCCCTTGACTATGAGAGAGTATCTGACAACGCACACAGGAGAACCTTGTGGAACGTCTACGATCGTAATCAACATACGGAACTCTTGCGATGGACTAGACGGTAAAATCGTGTATAGAGGGTGGTTAAAAGATGCATTCCAAGTGAGAACTGGTATCAAACAAGACTCTCCACTCTTACTTTTCCTCTTTCTTGTAGTTGCCGACTGGATTATGAAGATCTTCACATCTCAGGAGAAGCACGGAATACAGTGGACATGTTTCGATTCTTCAGACGACTTAACCCTGCAATCGAGTGCACAGCAACGGATTTAGGCAAAGACAGTCAGTATAGCAGCAGCCTGCATAAAAATAGGCCTCAGCATTCACAATGGAAAAAGCAGGCTCCAAAACACAACACACTGAGTACCGACCGAATCAAGCAAATCTGTGGTAGAGGTACCAGCCTTTACATATCTGAATAACATCTTTGGTCAACAATCAAAGTGTAATGGAGGTAAGGAGGCACCGATTGGCAAGGCCAAGTGAGGAAAATTCGGAACTCAAAACAACCGTCACCCAACACGAAAGTCAGACTTTTAAGCTAAAAAGTCAAAATATTACCAGTGATTGGAGCTGACTTGCAGTAAAAACATTACCAAAATATTACAGGCATTTATAAACAGCTGTCTACGCAAGATACTCTGAATGTGCTGGCCAGACATTAACGGTAATAACCCGTCGTGAAAGATTATAGGCAGATCACGAGTTGATGGGGAAATAGGGAAAAGACACTGGAAGTGGATGAATCACACTTTACAGGAACCATCAAATCGCTTCACAAAGCAAGCCTTGACCTGGGGAATCTTCGGGGCAAAATGAAAAGGAACAGACGAAGAGACTCACTGTGTCAGGAAATATCAATAAATTGAGTAGCAATTGGTAACAATTGGAAAGAATAGTTCAGTGCAGGGTTAGTTGGACATCGCTGCTTATCGGTCAATGATTCAAGAATTAACAGAAACGTAGAAATTCGTAAGTACATACATCAGTTCAGTTGATATATAGCATAAGCACAAAGACGCGACTGTCGCTTCAAATCCGATAGTAGTATAAGTGGTAGAAGTATTAGCGATGATCAAAAAGACTAGGGATCGATTACATGATTCGAGAAGTATATTCCAGTGGAATCAATTTATTGAGTGTTTTTATCTCTCTGCTTGCATCACGAACGCACTCGGTCAGGGGATATCTTTCAATCTTCAAGGCAATATGAAAAGGGACAGATCAAGAGACTCATTCCATTGTGAGACATCAATAAACTGGATAGAACTCAGTAACCACTAGAAAGGATAATCCAGGACGTGGTTGGTTGGAGATCGCTGATTGGAGGATTATGCCAAACCAGCGGTAACAGACGTAAGTCATCAACCAAACTAAAGTGAACTCTAAAGTGGATCGATCGGTGAATCTTGATGAGCCACTAAAGTGCACCGAATTTGTTTCCGTCCATAGGTAAGTCCCAAAGAGAAGTGTTTAAATAAATAGTAAATGGTATACTGGAGGAAGCGATGATTCATTTAATTATGATGGCTCGAGAGATGTAGCAAAAGTAGCCATAACACCACAATCATACGACAGATCGGACGAGTTCAGATGATCAGTATGCTAATCACTGGTTGTTGGTTATTTGAGTTAACGCAATTCTTGTGTTGAAGTTCGGCGGTGATCTCCACAATACTAAATAAGAACAGTTGTTTACCGCGTCAGTCTCAAACATTTCCACATCACCGAAATATTTGAGAATGTAGTATGAATGATCGATTTAAAGGACTTCATACTCAAAGCCTTACTTCACATGAATAAAGTATCTACTTTTGTAAACCCAAAAAACATTCAAACCACGACGAGCCACATTTCTTCCCATAACCAGACTCAATCTGTGGCTGGTAATCTTTCAGAAATAACTGGTTGACTATTATTTGACAACAGTGAAATGTATCACTCACACATTAGTGTAACGTAGAGGAACTGGAAATCTCCACCTACCAAAACACTTGAATTGGCGGTATCAATTCTCAATACAAAGTAGGTGAGCTTACTGCCTCTTAAAGTCGGTAGACGCAAAACGTTGAAATCCTATCCAAATCTACTCATGATTAACTCCTAGTTCAAACAATTTCAGTTTGAATACGTTTGTAACAACTTGGTGCAACTGAAATAGTGGACACGTAACTGAGATTTGAGATTCAATCTCCGTAGTAGTCGGAACTACGAAAGACCAATAGAGTGACTACTTTCTCTATGGATCCCAGAGATTTGTGTACGAGGTTTTACTCTTGCCAAGTATATTTTTCTATTTAAAAGTGTGTAGATACTTCCTGATTGTAAACTTATCGGTTGATGTGTTTTTGTTGTCTTCGTGTAGATCAGCAGAAAACCGTCGGTCGCTTCTAACAATTTTGGTTGATAATGCTCTTCGATCTAGCACTTCCTCACTCTTAGATAGTTTGCTACTTCGACAGCTAGTATATATTTGCTGTCTTGATTCTATCCCTGTTCCGCAAGAGTAAGTGTCTTCCAATATGTGTTTTCTAAATTGATATTACTCCAGGATTTATTGGTTGTTATGTAGTTTTCCATGTCAATGGTGATTTTATTTGCGATCACTGTCCAATTAATACCATCGCACTGAATCCTAGTGCAGGACTAGCTCTCTTAGAATGGATCCCAGTAGACAGTGGTTTGTTTACTGTCAGACTAAACGGGACAGTATGTACTTGGAGTGAAGAAGACGTTCGCTGTCGCCTCTTCGTCTAAGCTCCCACTGACAGCAGACCATATGGGGTTAGAGATTATTTTTACAGAAAACCTCGCAACCTCTTTCAAAAATTGATGTCCATAAAATTTTTTCATTTCAGCGCTGTGTCGGAATTTAATATGGAATGCCAAATTGTGCCAACTCTTCGAAGTTGTGTAGGCAGTGTTTTATGACGATAAATTTAGCTAAGTTCTACTATATGGAATGATCCCATTCTCTCCGCGTAATAAGTAAATATCCAATCGATTTACCGGTGTGTAAGTAGGTTGTACGACCTCGATTAAAATTTTTCTTGAAAATCAAGGCTGCATCTCATGAGTAAACGTCTTAGTGGAATGCGTTCATGTTGCTAGCAGACAGTTGGAACCGCATGTTTCCCCCTTCTGAATTTTGAATTTAGCCTTCTCTGAGAATAGTTAGTACGGAAGGTTAAATTCTATGTACATAGCCTTGTTTTATGGTCGGACTCCATGAAAACCATTCAAAATACATCAACTATGGGGAAAATAATATTTGCAATCATTTTTCCTTCTTAATACCTGTGTAACCATTAGTTAGTTATTGTTGTTTATATAAATATCAACCCACTCTATTTACCGCACGAAAAGTTCATCTTCACATGCAATAGTCTTTCGAATTTTTCGGGAGCCCGGTATTTGTTCAAAAGGCCGTGTTCCAAATAACTGTAGTGGCCGTTACCCATAGAGGAACATATCTTAGTCACAGTATTATGGTCATGCAGTGTGAGTTATTGTATTAGGCCTTTATGACATGTTCTGGCTTTTGGACAGAGAAACTGTTTCGTCTTTCTCCATCCAGTATTCACACTTTATTTGACCATCTTGATTTTTCGCTTTCATCTTTCGCTGTTTATATTCGAACGTGTCTGTTTATCACTTCCTTACTTCCCGAATGTCTCTGGAGTATTATTTTCTTATTACATGCCCCATCAAACGGAGGTGGTCCACTCACCTATCCTATTTTGATTTGCTTGACTATCACGCTTCTCAGAATTTTGAGTAACACGCGTGGAAGAGAGTCACTCAATCGTGATACGTTTGCAGTTGACAGTGAAGCTTTCAACCTTCGGCGGAATCCTTCCTTCGAATAGCTACCCTTTGGATGACGAACGGTTGTTTGGAGTCACATGATTCCTAGAGGTGCATTAAGACAGCAGAATAGTTGGGATTTGAATTGGCTTCCATAGTTTTTTACCCACCGTTTAAATAAGGCGTAGAATACCTTTTTAAAAATGATATCCTTGACATATACTGCTTCTTGTTATTGTGTCAGATATCAGTAGGAAAGATTATCCACTTGAATCAGGTAACGGTCTCGCGAATTCAAAATGGACGTAGTTAAGGCAAGCACTGCGAGTTGAGATGCATAAGCAAAGTTTATTATTGCCCAGAATTTTGAAAGCTTCCCCAGGAGTGTGTCCCTAACTAACGTCATTGTTCATATCACTCCAGCAAAATCGTTCTACTATCAACCTGATTGTTGTCTATGTGGATGAAAACGTATGTGCAAGGCGTCGAAGAAATTGCATCGGCAATGATTCGTTAAGATTGGGCGATTCCTAATCGCAGATGTGAACGAAGCAAACTTCCCTCATCCTCTCACATCTAAATAATTCTTAGTTTCATTGAATTCAATGATAATAATAATCTTCATATATCCATAAAGTTGGTCAGTTGTCTCAATTTCACGCGAAAAGTCAACAGAAAGGTAAATGTCAAGTTCTTCTGGTGCCGTTTCGTTCTCTGAGCACAAACATGTGCTGATGTTGCTCGAAAGAAAACTGAAGGCCTCACAACCAAAACATCCTGCTCAGAGAACGAAACACTGACAAAATCATCCGTCTGAACTACTAGTTTTCTCCGCCATCTGAAAGTCAAGTTCTTACATAGAGGCATCGGTGATCTACTGCTAATGAATACGAATCCTGTTAAGCGAAGGCTGCTTCTAATTTGTTTACAAACACTTGGACTTTATGAACCATTTGACGTTAAATTGACCTTGGTGTAACTTTTAAATATGGCGGTTCTGTTGGAAACATCTCTCGGACAACTTGTACTGGATTTGTATTGCGATGAGAAGCCACGAACGTGTACAAACTTCATTAAACTTTGCAAAATGAAGCACTATAACTTATGCCTTTTTCACAGTGTGCAGAAAAATTTGGTCGCTCAGTCTGGGGATCCTACTGGAACAGGTCATGGCGGTTGGTCTTTTTTCAAGTACTTGTATGGTGAGCAGGCACGATATTTTGATGCTGAGAAGAAACCAAAAATTTCACACACACGTAAAGGGTTAGTTTCCATGGTGGACAACGGATCTGGACAGCATGGTTCTCAATTCTTCATAACTTTGGGAAATGATCTCAATTACTTGGATGATACGCATACGGTTTTCGGCTATGTATGATTGCGTTAACATTGTCCTAACTGTGGTTTTTAGATTGCCGAGGGAATGGAATTCGTTGACAAAATAAATGAAGTGTACTGTGATAAAGATTGCCGGCCGTTTCGGAATGTGAGAATACATCATACATTTGTTCTTCACGATCCATTTGACTCTCCAAAAACAATTCGTTATCCTGACTCTCCACCCTCAATCAATGTCTCGGCAGTAAGCAGAATTTATCAGTTCATTTTGTGGTTTAATCTATTTCATTTACTAATAAATCAGCCGCCATGTAATCCTTTGTATGTGTAAAACAGTTCAGATTGGCGATTAGATCAAAGAGTAGCACACTGTAGTCCGTTTTTATGTACGTTACCCCAAGAATTCGTATTTTTAATTTGTTGGGTTGATATTTTAATCTACTTAGCTGCCTCAAACTGCAACTTAACTCAGTCAGTCAGTCAGATGCAACGTAGAACTTTGTACATAAGTACATCAGTTCATGTTGCCATACCACATCAGACAGAGAAGTAATCGTCAATTCAAATCCAATAGTAGAAGAGGTAGTACGGGAATTAGAAGTAATCGGAAAGGTTAGGATTAGAAGATAATATTCAAGAAGTATGATTCAATGAGAAAAGTTTAGAAAGTCAAAACTAGAGGTGTTGAAGAATCCAGAAGATTAGGATTTGAGAGAACACACAGAATAAATGCACTGGCGCCATTGCGAACGATTTTGAGCCATGTCATTCAAGGTCTCTAACCATCGATTATTATCATCTCGCGGACCCCAACCAGGTAGTCGACAATTACCGACATGGCTAAGTCCACTCGTCAATGACTTCATGGATTTCTGCCATGTTTTGGTTTGGCCGCCCCTAGCTTTCTTCCAACCTACTCCTATACTACAAAACAGCTCTTCGAGGCAGTCGGTGGTTGGGCATACGCAACACATGTCCCAACCACCTCAACTGATGAAGTTTCATTACTTCATCGATTGATCTGCCATTCTTACCTAGCACCCGATTCCTAATAACAGCGTTGCTCACTTGGGTGTCCCACGATATACGAGCAATGCTTCGAAGACACCTATGATCGAAAACCAGTAACCTACGAATATCTTCTACTCTCACTGGCCATGTTTCACAGCCATAAAGTAAGACGGAGCGAACCACTGCGCAGTACACTCGTCCTTTAGTCAGCAAACGGATATCTCGCCTACGCCATAAGTGACGCAGGTTGGCAAAAGCCAATCGAGCCTTCTGTATCCGTGCTGAGATTTCGTCAGTCACCAGGCCATCGGCACTGATGAGACTCCCGAGATAAGTGAAGCGGTCTACACTCTCGACTACTTCACTCCCTATCACTAGTTCAGTTGCCGATGAAACCCAGTCTTGAAGCAACATTTTGCATTTCGAGGGGGAAAACCGCATCCCAAACATGCTTGCATTGTTGCTTAGGGTAGACAGAAGACTGCATTTTGTCAGCGTCTTCACCAAGTAGGACTATGTCATCGGCATATTCTAAGTCAATAAGCGAGCCACCTGGTAGAAGGTCTACTCCTGAAAATTCAGGCGAGGATAAGGTTATTTCCAGCAGCATGTCATTGATAAAATTAAACAAGAATGGAGAAAGTGGACATCCCTGACGGACACCACTTGATGTAGAGAATTCCGGTGACAGTTCGCCATAAGCCCTCACTCGACCAGTGGTGTTCGAGTAGAGAGCTTGTATGAGGTTAATGTACTTCTTTGGTACACCTTTCAATGACAGACACTGCCACAGAACCTTACGATCGACAGAGTCAAATGCCGCCTTAAGGTCTAGGAAAACAACTATTGTAGGACGCCTAAATGTGTGTCTGTGTTCCAGTACCTGCCTGAGTGTGAAGACGTGGTCTATACAGCCACGTCCAGGTCGAAAACCAGCCTGCTTTCGTTAAGCGTCGAAGTATTATTGAGGCCAATATTTTAGATACTATATTAGTTAGACTTATTCCTCTGTGATTGTCACAAGAAGACTTTTGTCCTTTCTTATAGATTGGGACAATCATTGATTGAGACCAGTCGGATGGGATTACGTCCAGTTCCCAGATTCTACCTAAGATCTCAGTCATCCTAGCTGCTAAAACTGGACCACCATCCTTAAATATCTCAGGGGTCAGTCTATCAGGACCAGCAGCTCGTCCTCGTTTCAGATTTCCTAACGCTTTCTCAACGTCATTAAGATTAGGGAGACTTACGTCGACTTGCCATTCAGGATGACTGGAGATCGTGGGTAACCGAAGAGTGGCTCGTGGCCAGTTGAACTGATCCCTAAAGTGTTCTGCCCATCGATCCAGTCTCCTGGATTGAGAATGGATAATAATCCCATCCTTTTCCGAGATAGTCTCACTCACATTCGGGTTCCTAATACCAGTTTCTTTAATAAGGCGGAAAAGTTGTCTAGTGTTGCCTATCGCCGCTGCCTTTTCCATCGCTTTTGCTTTCGCCACCCACCACTGTTTGCGGTCGTTACGTAGGCTTTTTATAAGTCTGCGCCCAAGTTGACTTCGTTCTTCATCGTGTTTAGAGCCAGGTGGGATGCGTTTTCGAGCATCCATTAGTTCGGTGGATGCGACTGAAATCCACGGCTTCATCCTAGCCTCATGGTTTACCTTACTACCAGATATCACTGCTGTTTCCACAGCCTTTTTGATATCATACCAACCTGCTTCTGGATGGGAATCGCTTGCATGGTTGCTTAACTCTCTTTCTAGTTGTTCCTGAAATATATTCTTCGCCTTATTATCATTAAGTAAAACCCTAAGAAGCTTTCTTACGGTGTCTTTCCTACGCCCAGTAAGCTTCAAACAAATACGCGCTCGCACTAGGGCATGATCTGAATCTAAACATGTGCCCCAGAACGAGCGACAGTCTTCTATCGAACCCCTCCATCGGTGGCTGATGGCGATTTTGACTAGTTGTGACGACTTCGGGGGTCGCCAGGTCAAGAGTTGCTTTTCCTTATGCCTTAAGTTGGTGTTCGCTAAGAATAGGCGGTTATCTGAGCATAGTTGCAACAGACGGTCGCCATTGTCTGTTCTTTCAGTCGCTACACCATAACATCCACCAAGATGTCTTTCCTTTTCACCTAGTCTACCTACTTGAGCATTAAAGTCACCAGCCATTATTACTATATCAGAGCGCCTAGCTTTTTGGAGGAGGTCCGAAAGCTTTCTGTAAAACTCATCTTTAACCTCGTCTGAAGTGCAGTCAGTGGGGGCATAGGCAGATATGACGAAGAGGTAACGGCGAGTGTCCTTATCTTTCCGAGTCCTTACTGTCCCGTTTAGTCGGACAGCGCACAAACGACTATCTACTGGGATCCAGTCTAGGAGAGATAATTCTGCCCTAGGACTCAACGCTATGCCTACGCCAGCAAGACCCCTGGAAGCAGCATCAGGGCTACCGGATACACGAAGAGTAAATCGAGCTGCTTCTTCGTTTTGACAAGGTGGAATCAGGTTAATGACTTTACTAGGATCCTGTATGCGCGTTTCCGAGACGCAGCATACATCGATGGCACGAGTTTCTAAAGTCCTAGCTAATGATGCCTGTTGCCCTATTTGACACAATGTCCGTACATTAAAAGCTCCAACATTTAGTCTAGAACGGGGTTTCAAGAGACCAGGAACGACGTTTCGTGATCTCGCTTCGTCAGCATTAGCGGTGCAGTGAGAAAAGGGAGTGTGAGTAGAGTTAGTCGTAGAGATAAGAGGGACATTAGGGGGTATAGGAAGGATTTGATTTTGACCAATTTGGTCTTTCGTGCTGTTACGAGTATGAGGGCGGTTGTCACTTCCCGGCTGCCCTCACCGTGGAAGGTTGTTTCTTGAGGGACCTGAAAAGGAAGATGGATTAGTGTTGATGCGTGACCGCAGAGCCCAAGGGACAACTGCTTGAGGCCGGTCACGCACGGCCTTTTTATGAAAGGTATTTAGAGGATTAGCTCCGTTCTTAAAGGCCCCTAGTGGGCACCCTTACCCAGGGAGACGGGAATCCGTGAGTTAGGGGAGGTGTGACATTTTTAGGGCCGACCTTTTCTAACCCTTCCTTCCTTGTGAGAAGGCAGCATCGCTGCAGATGCTGGTTGTCCGAGGGAAACACCTTACTGCCGTCACACCTCTCTGCAGTCAGCAGTACGACTTCGCCCTCAGACCTTGGGTAGCTGCTTTTAGTCTCATCGTTCTCCAATCGACCAGCCTGGCATGGTAGGACCTTCAGGAACATATGTTCCAGCCATTATAGCTCGGTTGGATCATCACGATAGGCAAGCCCGACCACCACGTCAAGGTAACAGCTTCGGTCGGGCTACTTAACTCCTTCATGGCGTGCATCTTATTGAAAAATAATCATTGCACCCCGTGACTTAAAATCTTACACCAGCTGTCAAAAGAGCATTCCAAGCAAAAAATGCACTGGTAATTCTGAGGTGCACTTTCATCCAGTTTGACAGTAGGACATTTCACGAGTATTATAACTGCTTTACTAGTCTTCTTTATGGGAATATATTGTTCCCTCCTTCATCAGAAAAGGATTGAATTATACCAATAAGTGAATAAATCAACCCAAGGACTCAAATTAAAACCTCCTGAAAATCTAAGATCAGATCATAGGCGTCTCAAAGGTAAATTAATCAGCGTTTCATAAGCTCTCTCGGATATCACATAAAATGAAGTAGTGAATCTTAATCTCTTGAGTTGGTTGAAATATGTTACGTCTGCCCGAATGCCTCGACAAGCGGTTTTCTGATAGGGTGGTCAGTTAATCAGTTACAACGTGGAACTTCGTACATGAGTATGTTCAGGTTACCATTCCGCATCAACACTGTGACGCAACTTTCAGTTCGAATAACATAGTGGTAGCGTTAGTAGAAGTATTAGCAGTAATGGACAAGATTGGGTATCATAGGTTAGCCTATCAGGACCCGCTGCTCGCCCTCGCTTCAGATTTCCTATTTCTTTTTCAACTTCATAAAGAGTCGGAGGACTTACTTCGATTTGCCATTCAGGATGACTGGAGATCGTGGGTAACCGAAGTGTTGCTGAAGGCCATTTGAACTGGTCCCTAAAGTGTTGTGCCCATCGATCCAATCTCCTGCATTGAGAATGAATAATAAGACCATTCTTTTCTGGGATGGTTTCGTTAACAGATGGATTTCTAATACCGGTTTCCTTGATGAGTCTGAATGGTTGCCTACTATTGCCTGTCGCCGCTGCCTTTTCCATCGCTCCTGATCTCGCTACTCACCACTATTAACGATCATCGACTTCGCTCCTCATCGTATTCAGAGCTAGATGGGATGAGTTTACGAGCATCTATCATTTCGATAGATGCTTCTGAAATCCATTGCTTCTCCTCAACCTTATGGTTTACTTTGCCAGCAGGTGTCGCTGCTATTTACACAGCTTTTTGGCTATCATTCCAAGCTAAATCAGTTTGAGCATCACTTTCATCATTGCTTAACTGTTTTTCTAATTGTTCCTGAAATATATTCTTAGGCTTGTTATCATTAAGTAGAACCCTAGGAGGTTTCCTTTTTTGTATCTTTCCTATGTCCAGTGAGTCGCAAAGAAACACGCGCTCTCACTAGGTCATGATCTGAATCTAGGCATGTGCCCGAGAACGAGCGACAGTCCTATATCGGGCCCCCCATCGATAGCTGTTTACTATGTGATCTAGTTGAGTCCAACGTTGTTACGACTTGGGGTTGCCAGGTCAAGACATGGTGAGGTCCAATGAATGACGCTACTCGGATCTTGTATGCGCGTTTTCGAGACGCAGCACACATACATGTCGCAGAGGTTCTAAAGTCCTAGCTAGGGAAGCCTTTTGCCCCATTTGACACTATGCCCGGCCATCAAAAACTCCAACATGTAATTTAGAACGGGGGTTTCAGGAGACGTTTCGGGAACTCACATCGTTTGCATTAGTAGTTTAGCGTGATAGAGGAATGTGAGAAGAGTTAGTCGTGAAGATAAGAGAGATGTTAGGGGTGTAGGAAGGATTTGTTTGCGACTGATTTGGTCTCGTATGTTTTTACGTGTATGAGAGTGGATGTTACTTCCCGGATGTCCACACCATGGAAGGGTTTTCTTGAGGAACCTGAAAAGGAAGGTAGATTAGTGTTGATCATAGAGACCTGGGAGTGTGACCGCAGAGCCCAACGGACAACTGCTTAAGGACGGTCACGCACGGCGTTTTTATGGGTAGTTATCGAAATGTTGGCTCCGCTCTTGTTTATAAAAAACCGTTTTATTTAGTCGATACGATACATTTTACATTATTTACATACCAACTACAAATTCCATTCAAGTTGTTACGTGCTTTAAATGTGACTTCTGTGTGCTAATAATTTCTTGGATTCAATTACTAAGTGACTATTTTCATTTTCAAATGCAGAAGATTTATTTCTAAAACATCAAAACCACTCAAGAATACTGTTATGCTTCTGTATATGCCACTTACAATGTCCGTTTATTTTGACTAAAAAACTTTTATGCGTTAGCTTGTAATATGATTTCTGAATAAATCCTGTTGTTTTCTTCGCTGATTAAGCTTTTCATACTCCATTCTTACCCTAAAAAGTAAATATTCAGTTATCTTTCGACAGGTAATATTCAAGATTCTTTACACAACCACGTAATTTCACTCATATACCTTTTCGTTCCTTGTCACTATTACCTCCAGTGTTTTACTAACCCTTAGCTTTTCTACTTAAGTAGTTTTATGATTGCTATTCTCGTACAGCATAATTTTTGTGTTTTTTTATATTTAACAGTTTGACACTAGATTAGAAGAGGATGAAGAACTAGATGACACTGAAGGACTTTCACCCACACAAGTGGACGAACTGAAGGCAGAACAAGAAGTTAGAACTCATACCCAGCTTCTTACGCTGATAGGCGATTTACCGGATGCAAATGTTAAACCCCCAAATAATGTACTTTTTGTCTGTAAACTTAACCCCGTAACCACAAGTGAAGATTTGGAGATCATTTTCAGTCGGTTTGGTGACATCAAATCATGTGAAGTTATTAGGGATAGACGTACTGGTGCTTCCCTTCAGTATGCTTTCATAGAATTTGAGAAAGAGGCTGATTGTGAAGATGCATATTTCAAAATGGACAAAGTTGTTATTGATGATAGACGTATCCATGTGGATTTCAGTCAGTCAGTCGCTCGTGAATGGCAGTCTTACAGAAAAGATAAAGTTGCACGCGTTCAACCCCAAAATACTTCCAAGTCAAAAGACTCACGGGATGTAAAACGACCTTTTTTACCGAGATCACCTGAACGAAATAGCAAAAGAAATCATCCTCAGCATTCTCGTAGCGGTGAAAATAAGAAAAAGAGACATAGTCCGATAAGACAGGATTCTCCATCTGTATTAGGTGAAGGATATGATTTGGTAATATCAGATGAGTCTGATTCTTCGTTAGTGTCAGCGAAATCCAAAGAGACACATCATAGTAAGCCCTCATATGTGTTCATGATTTGGATTCCAAGTTATCAGTTGTAAATTTGATTTCATTTATCTATAATGATTTATAATTGAAATTCCTATTACCTCTATTTTGTAAAACATTTATTTGACAAGTAGACTATATTGCTTTTTAATTAGTGGGCTGAATCCGTAGCTATAGTTTTAAAGGATCTTCTTTTGAAGGGTATGGATGGTGAAAGTCTACTTTATTTGTTTATATATTTAAACACAGACATTGTTACTAAAGGGGCGCCACACAAATAGTTAAATTAATGTGCGGGCTAAGATATTGCCCGGGCCTTCAAATCAGAGCGGGAGGCTTCCTAAGGGCTCCCCTCTTCAGACCTTTCACCTCGAGGTCGGATCCACAAGAGAAACGTAAGGAGATGCAGTCACATGGTAGCTGGTGACCAACAATAGGTTTGTATGCCATCTTTGCCCACTAATCCAACTTTTTCAGGTTCCTCAAGAAAAACCCTTCCATGGTGTGGACAGCAGGGAAGTAACAACACACGAGACCAAATTGGTCACAAACCAATCCTTCCTACACCCCTAACATCTCTCTTATCTCCACGAATAACTCTTCTCTCATTCTTTTATCACCCTGCACCGCTAATGCAGTGCTGATGGCCTGGTGTGTGACGAAATCTCAGCACGGATACAGAAAGCTCGATTGGCTTTTGCCAACCTGCGTCACTCATGGCGCAGGCGAGATATCCGTTTGCTGACTAAAGGACGAGTGTACTGTGCAGTAATTCGCTCCGTCCTACTTTATGGCTGTGAAACAGACAGACAGATACAACGCAGAACTTCATACGTAAGTACATCAGTTCAGGTTGCCATACCACATCAGCACAGAGACGCAACTGTCAGTTCAAATCTGAGAGTGATAGCGATAGTAGAAGTATTAGCAGTAATGGAAAAGGTTAGGGAACGAAGAGATGATCTGAGAAGTATTATTCAGTGAGATAAAGTTAAGAAGAGAAAGACAGAGATGATGAGGGATTCAGAATGTTAGAATTAGCGAGACCACAAAGAGTAGATGCACCTGCGCCATTGCAAACTATTCTGAGCCATATCATTCAAGTTCTCTAACCATCTATGACTTACGTCTCGCGGACCCCAACATGGTAGTCTGCATCTACCAACATGACTCACTCCACTTGTGAGCTGCACCTAGCATTCGTCCAACCGACTCCTACACCAAAATACACAGCTCGTCGAGGCAGCCGGTGGTTGGGCATATGTAACACATGTCCCAACCACCTAAACTGATGAAGTTTCAATATTTCATCCATTGATTTACCATCCCTACCTAGAACTCGTTTCCTAACGACAGCGATGCTTACTCGGTTGACCCAGGATACCACCATCCTTAAAAATATCATAGGTTAGCCTATCAGGACCCGCTGCTCGCCCTCGCTTCAGATTTCCTATTTCTTTTTCAACTTCATCAAGAGTCGGAGGACTTACTTCGATTTGCCATTCAGGATGACTGGAGATCGTGGGTAACCGAAGTGTTGCTGAAGGCCATTTGAACTGGTCCCTAAAGTGTTGTGCCCATCGATCCAATCTCCTGCATTGAGAATGAATAATAAGACCATTCTTTTCTGTGACATTCGTCTGTCGAACCTCTTCGTCGGTGGCTGATGGCTATGGGATCCAGTTGGGTCCAACCTTGGGACGCCAGGTCAAAATGTTTTTCCTGATGCATAAGGTTAGTGTTTGCTAGAATTAGGCGGTTATTTGAGCACAGTTGCAACAGACGGTCGCCGTTGCCTCTTCTTTGAACTGCGACACCATAAGATACACCTAGGTATCTTTCCTGATCACTTAGTCTACCTACTTGAGCATTAAAGTCACCAGCCATTATTACTATATCAGAGTGCCTAACTTTTTGGAGGAGGTGCAGAAGCTTTCCGTAAAACTCATCTTTCACCTCTTCGTAACTGCAGTCAGTGGGAGCGTAGGCGGGTACGCCGAAGGGGCACCGGCGAGTGTCCCTATCTTTACGAGTCCTTACTGGACACAAGCGACTATCTACTGGGATCCAGTCTATGGGAGCTAGTTCCGCCGTAGGACTCAGTGCTATACCTACGCGAGCGAGGCCACGGGAAGCAGCATCAGGGATTCCAGATATACGACGGGTAAATCGAGTTGCTCATTTATTGAAATGGTGAGGTCAAATGAATGACGCTACTCGGATCTTGTATGCACGTTTTCGAGACGCAGCACACATACATGTAGTCTAGGGCGGGGTTTCATGAGACTAGAAGTAACTTTTGTTGAACTCGCATCGTTTGCATTAGTAGTTGAGCGTGATAGAGGAATGTGAGAAGAGTTAGTCGTGAAGATAAGAGAGATGTTAGGGGTGTAGGAAGGATTTGTTTGCGACTGATTTGGTCTCGTATGTTTTTACGTGTATGAGAGTGGATGTTACTTCCCGGATGTCCACACCATGGAAGGGTTTTCTTGAGGAACCTGAAAAGGAAGGTAGATTAGTGTTGATCATAGAGACCTGGGAGTGTGACCGCAGAGCCCAACGGACAACTGCTTAAGGACGGCCACGCACGGCGTTTTTATGGGTAGTTATTGAAGTGTTGGCTCCGCTCTTGTTTAAAAGGCCTTACCATTGGAGACAGAAATCTGTGAGGTGTGAAATTTTTAGGGTCGACCTTTTCTAACCCTTCCTTCCTTGTGAGAAGGCAGCATCGCTGCAGATGCTGGTTGTCCGAGGGAAACACCTTACTGCCGTCACACCCCTCTACAGTCAGCAGTACGACTTCTCCCTCAGACCTTGAGTAGGTGCTTTTAGTCTCATCGTTCTCCAATCGACCTGCCTGGCATGGTAGGACCTTCAGGAACATATTTTCCAGCCAATATAGCTCGGTTGGGTCATCAGGATAGGCAAGCCCGAGCACCACCCCAGTTAGCATTTACGGTTGGGGTTTTTCAATGTAGGAATAGGTTGGACGAAAGCTATTGGCGGTCAGATCAAAACACCGCAGAAATCCATGAACTCACTGACAATTTGCCTGAGTCATATCGGTATGTGTCGACTACCTGGTTGGAGTTCGCAATATGATAATTATCAATGGTTAGAGACTCTGAATGACATTGCTGAAAGTCGTTTTCAATAAGTCAGTTACATTTACTCTTTCTGTTCTATGAAATTTTAACCTTCTGAATTAATCATCATCTCTATCTTTCTCTTTCTAAATTTGCCTCACTGAATTATACTTCTTGAATATCATCTTCGAACCCTAATCTCCCCGATAACTTCTTATACTTTTACTACCTCTACTGCTATGGGATTTCAAATGACTATTGCATCTCTATGCTGATGTGGTATGGCAACTTGAACTGTTATACTTACATACGAAGTTCTACTTTGTAACTGACTGACTGAATGCAAACGATACGAGTTCCTGAAACGTTTTTCCTTGTCTCCTGAAACGCCTGTCGTTAGGAAACGTGTACTAGGTAGGGATGGCAAACCAATAGCAGTCGGAGACTACCTTTACCATCACACGTGATGACTTCTATCCGAAGATCTCTCAAATCCCAGGGCAAAGTTTAAGTAGCTCAAATGAATTTCCAGTTAGCGTTTTTTAAGTGAGATTGTTAACCCCACGCCCAACCTTTTTTCTTTACCTGAACGTGATACCATCAGTAAGTTACGTGGGGCTTGAATATAATTGTTCCTTTGCAGCGAAGAAAATAGGTCTAAATAGGATATTATCAATCTGAAGTTTGGTATAAGCCCGCAGGATAACAAAGCTCTCAGCATCAATTAATGCAACACAGTTTCATACACTTTAATAATATAGTTGATGGGAGACCGTTTTGCTAAACCTGTTTTAACAAATTAAATTTCACACTTCATTCAGTGAATTAACTTTTTTATAACTTTCTAGGCTCAAGCAAGTCATCCAAAACTCATCGCAAGAAACACGAGAGAAAAAGGAAACATAAGCATCATTCACGATATTAACCATTGTAAAAAACTTTCGTATTTGTTATTGTATATTATTCTCATTAATTCGCATGATACTTATATTTTGTAAATTATAAATTCATTGTTTTCTAAAAAATGTCTTTTATTATTATAAAAGTTAAGATGTAATTAACCGTGCGATCGTGACCTAATCGCTTATATCAAATTGGCATGACCTGATTTACATGACCAATCACGTGAGTAATTGTACGGTATCTGTGTTTACAAGTGGTTTTCATACTATCTATCACCTAGAAACAAGACAGGACGGATTGAATATACTCCCGAACAATTACGGGGCGGTCCTTTCACGTTACGTTTTATTTGAAAATCATCAGTTGGGTACATGTTGAAGTTATCAGTCAGGCAACAATTCATTGCTTGAGATATTGATAGATTACTTCTTAGGCTACTGATCCATAACACCTACCACTTGTTCATTTAATCAGATTTATATGTGTAAAGTACTATAAGTTGGCGGATTCGTATTTCGTTACAAAATTTTCGAAACATTTTATGCCAGTGCGCTTTCCATTACTGTGTATTTCCAGTTACCAGACGATAAAATTATTGGTCTTTAAAGCGACAGTTCGGGGGGGGGAAGAACAACTACCAACAGACTGAAAAGAATGACAACTCATCAAGATTCCAAAGAAAGAAGATCTCAGCAAGTGTGAGAACTACACAGGCATCACTCTCCTCTCGGTTACAAGCATAGTCGTCAACAGGGTGTTGTTAAACAGAATGAAGGACTTCGTAGACGCCCAACTTCGAGATCAACAAGCTGGATTTCGTAAGGATCGATCGTGTACCGACCAAATCGCAACATTACGGATCATTGTGGAACACTCAATCGGATGTAACTCACCACTCTACATCTGCTTCCTTGACTAAGAGAAAACATTTGATAGCGTGGACAGGATGACATTATGGAGGCTTGTTGGACATCAAGGTGTACGTGACAAGCTAGTCAACATCATACGGAATTCTTACGATGTACTACACTGCAGCTGACAGACTCATTTGAGATGAAGAGCGGTGTCAGACAAGGTTGCCTACTCTGAGGTTTTCTGTTCTTCCTGGTGGTCGACTGGATCATGAAGACGTCACACTGTCTGAGAGTGGGCAGGGAATACAGTGAACAGTTGGGATGCAGCTGGACTAGTTGGATTTCGTAGATGATTTGGCTCTTCCGTTGCACACGCAACGTAAAATATAGTTGAAGCCGATCAGTGCATCAGCAGCAGCGATAGGTCTCATCATACATAATGGGCAAGGTTAGATTCTCCGGTACATCACAACATGTGCCAACCAAGTCACTGTTGATGGAGATGCCATGGAGAACGTGTAAACCTCTACATATCTGGGCAGCATAGTCGACGAGCAAAGTGGATCTGATGCAGATTTGAAGTCGCCGATCGGCAAGGCAAAGTGATCATTTCTACAGTTGAACAACTGTCAACAAACATCGAAGTCACAATTTCCAATAGAAATGTCAAGACAGTTCTACTGTATCGGCCAGAGATTCGGAGAACTACAAAAGCCACCATCCAGAAGACACAAGTGTTTATTAACAGTTTTCTACGCAAAATACTTCGGATTCGCTGGCCATTCATCATCAGCAACAATCTAGTGTGGGAAAGAACAAACCAGATTGATTCTAGCGGAGGAAGAAATGAAGGAGAATCGCTAGAATTGGATAGGACACACATGAAGTACAGCACTGAACTGTGTCACACTGTCACTTGGAATTTTGACGGACGAAGGAAAAATGAAGGCGAAGGATCACATTACATTGATTTATGGAGATAAGTATGATAAGAATGAACGAAAATCGGACAGAACGGTAAAGGGAACCCGAGGACAGATTAGGTTAGAGGATATTGGTTGGTAGCCTATGCTCCATTGGTGGTATCAGGCGTAAGTTAGAAATTTCATTCGAATAATACGTTTGATCTAACTTAGGAAAAGATGTTACTATGAATTTCGTTTATTACACTGTAGTCAGTTATGGAAGACTTCAAATGATTGGAGATTTCGACTACTTTTTTCGTCGTTGTTTCCAATACTAGCAAGTTATCGGAAAAAACCCAAATATGAATTTCATGTTAATCCCTGTGTCTAATGTCAATAGACTGATTGTTTGCATATTTCACTTTTTGAAAATGTTGTTTAGTGAATTTTTTTATGATAAAAGACAAACTGTGAGATTTATAAGTTTTTTTCATAATCAAACATAGCAGTTTCTAAAGGACGACTATGGGTGATTAAAAATTAATCATGGTTGTTTGGTAAGTATTACTTTTGCTAAAATACCTATGCTAATACTTATCAATAGCTTACTTTTGTATCTAAAATGTTGCATATAAAGTCTCGAAAATACTTTTAGTTATCAAATTTTTATTTAATGCTGAAGGAGAGTAGTGATTCCAGATTAATCTCAAAATGAATTTCAAGAAGTCAGTCAGTCAGTCAGATGCAACGTAGAACTTCGTACGTAAGTACATCAGTTCATGTCGCCATACCGCATCAGCACAGAGATGTAATTGTCAATTCAAATCCAATAGTAGAAGAGATGGTGAAGGTATTAGAAGTAATCGGAGAGGTTAGGATTAGAAGATAATATTCAAGAAGTATGATTCAATGAGAAAAGTTTAGAAAGTCAAAACTAGAGGTGTTGAAGAATCTAGAAGATTAGCATTTGAGAGAACACAGAGAATAAATGCACCGGCGCCATTGCGAACGATTTTGAGCCATGTCATTCAAGGTCTCTAACCATCGATTATTATCATCTCGCGGACCCCAACCAGGTAGTCGACAATTACCGACATGGCTAAGTCCACTCGTCAATGATTTCATGGATTTCTGCCATGTTTTGGTTTGGCCGCCCCTAGCTTTCTTCCAACCTACTCCTATACTACAAAACAGCTCTTCGAGGCAGTCGGTGGTTAGGCATACGCAACACATGTCCCAACCACATCAACTGATGAAGTTTCATTACTTCATCTATTGATCTGCCATTCTTGCCTAGCACCCGATTCTTAATAACAGCGTTGCTCACTCGGGTGTCCCACGATATACGAGCAATGCTTCGAAGACACCTATGATCGAAAACCAATAACCTACGAATATCTTCTACTCTCACTGGCCATGTTTCACAGCCATAAAGTAAGACGGAGCGAACCACTGCGCAGTACACTCGTCCTTTAGTCAACAAAGGGATATCTCGCCTGCGCCATGAGTGACGCAGGTTAGCGAAAGCCAATCGAGCCTTCTGTATCCGTGCTGAGATTTCGTCAGTCACCAGGCCATCGGCACTGATGAGACTCCCGAGATAATTGGAGTGGTCTACACGTTCGACTACTTCACTCCTTATCACTAGTTCAGTTGCCGATGAAACCCAGTCTTGAAGCAACATTTTGCATTTCGACAGGGAAAACCGCATCCCGAACATACTTGCATTGTTGCTTAGGGTAGTCAGAAGACTCTGCATTTTGTCAGCGTCTTCACCAAGTAGGACTATGTCATCGGCATATTCTAAGTCAATAAGCGAGCCACCTGGTAAAAGGTCTACTCTTGAAAATTCAGACGAGGATAAGGTTATTTCTAGGAGCATGTCAATGATAAAATTAAACAAGAATGAAGAAAGTGGACATTCCTGACGGACACCACTTGAAGTACAGAATTCCGGTGACAATTTGCCGCAAAACCTCACCATCAACAGAGTCAAATGCCGCTTTTAGGTCGAGGAACACGACTATTGTCGGACGTCTAAATGTGTGTCTGTGTTCCAGGACTTGTCGTAGTGTGAAGATGTGGTCTATACAACCACGTCCAGGTCGAAAACCAGCCTGGTTTTCACGAGTTTGCTCTTTACGAGCTTTCGTTATGCGCCGAAGTATTATTGAGGCCAATATTTTAGACACTAAAATAGTTAGACTTATTCCCCTGTGATTGTCACAAGAAGACTTCTGTCCTTTCTTATAGATTGGGACAATCATTGATTGAGACCAGTCAGATGGGATTACGTCCAGTTCCCAGATTCTACCTAAGATCTCAGTCAACCTGGCTGCTAAAACTGGACCACCATCCTTAAATACCTCAGGGGTCAGTCTATCAGGACCAGCAGCTCGCCCTCGCTTCAGATATCCTAACGCTTTCTCAACGTCATTAAGACTAGGGAGACTTACATCGACTTGCCATTCAGGATGACTGGAGATCGTGGGTAACTGAAGAGTGGCTGAAGGCCAGTTGAACCGATCCCTAAAGTGTTGTGCCCATCGATCCAATCTCCTGGATTGAGAATAAATAATAATCCCATCATTTTCTGAGATAGTCTCACCTACACTAGGATTCCTAATACCAGTTTCCTTGATAAGTCGGAAAAGTTGTCTACTGTTGCCGATCGACACTGCCTTTTCCATCGCTTTTGCTTTCGCCACCCACCACTGTTTGCGGTCGTTACGTAGGCTTTTTATAAGTCTGCGCCCAAGTTGACTTCGTTCTTCATCGTGTTTAGAGCCAGGTGGGATGCGTTTTCGAGCATCCATTAGTTCGGTGGATGCGACTGAAATCCACGGCTTCATCCTAGCCTCATGGTTTACCTTACTACCAGATATCACTGCTGTTTCCACAGCCTTTTTGATATCATACCAACCTGCTTCTGGATGGGAATCGCTTGCATGGTTGCTTAACTCTCTTTCTAGTTGTTCCTGAAATATATTCTTCGCCTTATTATCATTAAGTAAAACCCTAAGAAGCTTTCTTACGGTGTCTTTCCTACGCCCAGTAAGCTTCAAACAAATACGCGCTCGCACTAGGGCATGATCTGAATCTAAACATGTGCCCCAGAACGAGCGACAGTCCTCTATCGAACCCCTCCATCGGTGGCTGATGGCGATGTAATCTAGTTGGGTCCAACGTTGAGACGACTTTGGAGGTCGCCAGGTCAAGAGTTGCTTTTCCTTATGCCTAAAGTTGGTGTTCGCTGAGAATAGACGGTTATCTGAGCATAGTTGCAACAGACGGTCGCCATTGTCTGTTCTCTCAGTCGCTACACCATAACATCCACCAAGATGTCTTTCCTTTTCACCTAGTCTACCTACTTGAGCATTAAAGTCACCAGCCATTATTACTATGTCAGAGCGCTTAGCTTTTTGGAGTAGGTCCGAAAGCTTTCTGTAGAACTCTTCTTTCACGTCGTCTGAACTGCAGTCAGTGGGGGCATAGGCAGATATGACGAAGAGGTAACGGCGAGTGTCCTTATCTTTCCGAATCTTTATTGTCCCGTTCAGTCAGACAGCGCACAAGCGACTATCTACTGGGATCCAGTCAAGGAGAGATTGTTCTGCCCTAGGACTCAACGCTATGCCTACGCCAGCAAGACCCCTGGAAGCAGCATCAGGGCTACCGGATACACGAAGAGTAAATCGAGCTGCTTCTTCGTTTTGACAAGGTGGAATCAGGTTAATGACCTTACTAGGATCCTGTATGCGCGTTTCCGAGACGCAGCATACATCGATGGCACGAGTTTCTAAAGTCCTAGCTAATGATGCCTGTTGCCCTATTTGACACAATGTCCGTACATTAAAAGCTCCAACATTTAGTCTAGAACGGGGTTTCAAGAGACCAGGAACGACGTTTCGTGATCTCGCTTCGTCAGCATTAGCGGTGCAGTCAGATAAGGGAATGTGATTAGAGTTAGTTGTGGAGAGAAGAGAGGTATGTGTGGGCGTAGGAAGGATTTGTTTTCGACCAGTTTGGTCTTTCGTGCTGTTACGGGTATGAGGGCGTTTGTCACTTCCCGGCTGCCCTCACCGTGGAAGGTTGTTTCTTGAGGGACCTGGGCTTGGAGACCTGGGAGCGTGACCGCAGAGCCCAAGGGACAACTGCTTGAGGCCGGTCACGCACGGCCTTTTTATGAAAGGTTTTTTGAGTATTAGCTCCGCTCTCAAAGGCCCTTAGTGGGCACCCTTACCGACGGAGACGGAAATCCGTGATGTAGGATGAGGTGTGACATTTTTAGGGCCGACCTTTTCTAACCCTTCCTTCCTTGTGAGAAGGCAGCATCGCTGCAGATGCTGGTTGTCCGAGGGAAACACCTTACTGCCGTCACACCCCTCTACAGTCAGCAGTACGACTTCGCCCTCAGACCTTGAGTAGCTGCTTTTAGTCTCATCGTTCTCCAATCGACCTGCCTGACATGGTAGAACCTTCAGGAACATATTTTCCAGCCAATATAGCTCGGTTGGGTCATCACGATAGGCAAGCCCGACCACCACGTCAAGGTAGCAGCTACGGTCGGGATTTCAAGAAGTCAGTTGCTCAAAAATCAGCATAAAATCAACATTATGAGTTTAAACATATTTTCACTTGCTACGTAGTGAAGCTATTCAGTTGTTTTTTGATCGGAAATTACATGTTCACCATTTATTTTAGGTCAATGATTATGCTAGAAATAATCTATATCTCGGCCTGAAAATTATTTATAGCTCATGGAAGAGCAGGATCCACTAGATAACTTTGCCTTATCTGTTTAATAGTGAGGGCGACGAAAGATAACCGGCTACCGTATAGTCATGTTTCTGTGAAAATGAAAAAATCGGCTTAGAGTAAGGAGAAACTGGTCGCTTAGAAGTCATTTGATTCTGAAATATTTATTGTTCAGAATGAAAAATATTTTCCAAGGTATAAAAATCATAAAATTTCCATCAAACAGTTCTGTTATAAGTTCGGTAGGTTTGGAAATAATTCCTGTTGACAATTATTCAGTTATTTTTTCATAACGTCACCGAAGATGGCAAACACTATAAATATGAAGATGGACTATTCATCGAAAACTTAGTGCAAAATGGCTAAGGATAAAGATGTTGATCCCTAGTTTATGAAACAGAGGGTTCTTTTTGAGTGTATACATTATTGACGAATCGCATTCCACAGTTTAACACGAGTCAGGTGTTATCAAATTGTCAGTACTTGTTCAGGGTACATGTACGTGATGAGCTAGATTTGAAATAAAACAGTTTGTTCTACTCGAGGATTAAAACCATTAATTTTCAAGCTATCCAATCGAATGGTTTCGTTCTAATAAACTAATGAAATCATAAAGCTTACATTTTAGCTTCAATACATTTATTATCGGGAATAGACATACATCTTCCAATATTTCAGCATAGTTCTAGAAAAACTAAGGTTTCACATGGTATCCTAAAGCAAAAGAAAGCTTCGGGAATGTGCATCGTACATCCCAAATTCATAGGATTATTCATTTTCAAAGGAAAACCACTTGACAATGCAATGAGACAGTTATTTTAAAACGCATAATGACTGGACACTAGAGAGCCAAGTTTGGTTTACGAGAAATTAATGAATATTAATATTCGAACAAAATCTTATCACTTCATTCCTGCATAAACTTTAAGTGATGACAACGTCTTGCACTTTTCTGAAATACTTTCAGATTAAAATGCCAATTTGAGTAATGTAGCATCTTACTACTAGCCTGTAGTCAGTATTATTTTAATTTCATGAACAATTTTTAAAAAAGTTTGCAAATAACTGGAATGCAAGCGTAAATAGTATCTTTATAGTGAATGTTAACAACCATATAAACTATTAAAGTATACGCATTTTCTGATTTAGTAGTATGAATTATCATCAACTTCAAAATTCCTTTCAATTTTACTCAAAAATATTCAAAAAATAAGATCAGTTAACATATTGATTTAGGGGAACATGAAGGACACAAATCAAAACAAAATGAAATCTCATAACCATCAATCATCAAAAAAACGTCACTATTCAAAATGTACAACAATTATATTTAAAATTATCAAAACATTTGAAATTTGATTTAATAGAGCAATAAATAATCTAAACAGGTGAAATTCAACTAATCTTGGCACCCATTTACCAATCCCTCAAGATATTTTGTGGTTAAAACAAAATTTAAAAAGTTTGAAAAGGTCTGATTTTATAGCATGAAGAATTATATACATGCTTTTGCATTTAGGTGATATATCTATATAGAAATAAAGTTTTGTCCTGGACATTGATGAAAGCAACATACGATATAACTTTCGATATTCGCGTATTAATTTTTTATAGAATTGGCGGTATTCATTCAAACAAAGTTTTATTCCATAAAAATAATTGGCACAAAGAATTACGAACAAAATGATGATCTTTGATTCAAAATATCAATTGCTGAACTATGCCTTGTATTGACTGAATCTTGTTGCTCAGTTTGTTTGAATAATGACTTGCCACCATTTAGATTAGCATTACCAGCGCCATTACTATTTGCGCTGAAACGATGTGTAGACTTAGGCAGAAGCACTTTCAAGCTGTTTAGGGATTTTCCAAACACTGGTAGTTTATTTGTATTTGAATGATAAATTCCGTTTGAACTGTAGTTTGCTGGCGAACTTAAACTTGTATCGATAAAACGGATTTCTGGTTTAGGTGCAATATAACTATTCGGTGTAAAATTATCTATAATGGCAGTCTGCTCACTTGTATTATAGTTAACATTATTGTTATCCTCATCATGATTTAAAATTGGTTGTGGTGGAGGTGATGAATAACGATTATTCTTTGGTTTAGTAGGCCTTGAAGTGTATAAACTAGGTGGATAATTAATTTGTTTGGAATATTCAGTATCATAGCCATTTATAACTTTCCCAATTGTGGTTATCCCATTTTCATTGCTCCAATTGAATGGATATTTTGGTGATGCTCTATAGTTTGCATTCGTTTCTCCTGGAGTAACTCCACTTGAACTTATGTAACCTGGTACACGTTTGCACTGAACTAATGAAGTTAATGATTCTGAATAAGGGTATTCGATGTACATGTTTCTATCAAGATTGAAAGAAACTTGATACGGTTTTCTTTTGAGTGGTGATGAAGCAGACAAACAAGGCTGAAGATTTGAATTTGATGCTATCATATTCATGTTTTCATTGTAGCTTCTGCAAGGTAACATGATAGAACCTAAGGGAAAATTAATATAAAGAAGTTAGAGTACCATATTCTTAGACTGTTTATATTTGGCAATCTTGTTCAAAATTTCAAATATCAGACCGTTCTGCCAGGAGGTTACATTTTTTAGTTTTGCTCTTTGGATACATTCAATGTGTATTTGTTTAAATGAGGAACAATTTTATCAAAGAATAAATTGGAAAGACCCATTGATGAATGCTTAATTAATGTACTTGAGAAGTAACAAAAATATTAACCATCCGACCACAATTCCTAACAATCTACGCAGAAAATAATAAGATATCGTTTAGAAATTAATATAAATCAATTAATTATTGTTTTTATCTAAAGCACTAGAGTTTCTTTGAAAAGGTAAGTAAATCAGAAAAATACCGAGTATGTTACTAAGTAGTCAATACATTATTATGGATATTTCTTACATTCATTTATGAAATTTATGTTGGTAAAATATATTCTTAATCGCAAAGAAACTTTTTTTGAAATATATGAAATCTTAAATATATTAACAAAATTTTTATTAAAATTGAACTATGACTAGCAGTAGAATGTATAGCGTACGTTTCCACCTGTCTGCTTGATTTACCTTCATTGCTGTATACACACTAATACTTATAACTAAACTTATCAGTGCTTATCAGTTCAAATGTAAGCATTTGGTGTAAAAAAGGATGAAATTATCCAAGATAATTGTAGTAAATGAACTTCATAAAAGTGAAAGCGTTAAAAAATTTCTCTAGCAAGTCAACAATAAAGCATCATTTCAAGAGTAATTGAAAATATTAAAAGATTATTTAACTGGTAGATTAAATTAATTGTTTTTAAAAAATTCAGTTTAAAATAGAAGTTACTAAGACTGAAAATTATGTTATTCTCTTAACCAGTGTATTCATCAAATTTTATTGATTACCGAATGAATTAAAGTTTATGAACCAATATCACTAATCAGTATATACTCATTAGCTAGAAATCTTTTTTCATAATTATTAGTAATTAGCTGTCAGGACATGGTTTCCATACATAACAAGCTCATTGAAGAATTTGACTGAAAATTTTTCTTTCTCAAATCCATTAAGTGTTAGTTTTATGATAATATCTAATAAACAATAGTTTCATCAGCAAAGCATTCTTACTGTTTACAGATAAAATTGGAAGGAATAATGATAGATGATTTGTGATAACTTTGGGTAAATTTTAGAAGAGTAATCAGCTTGAGAAACAGTGAATGGGACAATTCAAGCAAGTCGAGAGTGAGATAGTTCTACATGACTAAAGTCGGATAGTTCATTATAATCAGATAATAATAATAATAGCACTGTCACTTTAGTGACTGAATTTGAGAATCTATGTCTAAAGTGATATAGTGGTTGCAGTGGGTGTTAAAAGTTGTAAGTGAATATCATTGAGAAGTTCCAAACCAACGGAACTTAATTCCTTATCTAATTGTTGGTTTTTAGCTGTTCTCCAGATAATATCCATCCAGGATGAGAACCCCCTTGTTTACTTTACCAAGCTCTATATGTGCTTAGGCTTTGAAAATTCTCACAACTAATTTATCATACACCCACAATTATGTTCACATTCTTTTTATTATCAATAATATTTTAGTCACTTGAAACAAGATATTAATAGACGATATTACTCAACATTTATGATGCTACTTAATAGAGAGAAAAGAAGTTACGAAACAGCATGATATAAAAAACTACTGAAAAACTTACTGCTATGTAAGTTTTGATGAGTTTTTCTGTTTTGTACGTTTATATACGCCATTGATTATAGATTAAGTATACAAACGCACACAATATTTCATTCAGCATTTATGGTGTCAGTGAGTGAAATATGAAACAACACAATACTAACAAGTATGGAAAAAAGAATTCTCGTTTATGAATTACATAAAATTAAGCAGAGATTTAAGGCATTTGTGTATCGGATATTCGGTACAACATTGGACGTAAACGTGAATTTTAGTATTTTTCAGAGATAACTTATTATTATTAGCAATTAAACAAAACATAAAAGGCATAAACCACAGCGAAATTCTAATCAAAAACCGTCATACACAAGAATTTATCGATAAAAGGCATCGATTTCAAAATGAATTACCGTCATATATAGACACACGTGTATAAATCCACAGGAGTCCTAACTAACTGGTTTATGCATTTCAATATAAAATTCATTGAATCATGATTTTTAGTTACTCATATTGAAAACTTATACTCAAAAGGTTCACTAATTTATTAACAGTATAATTCCACATGAAACCAGTTGAAAACTTTATACCTTTGACCATAATTCGTATTCGCATTTTTCTACTGTCTAGCGAAAGCAAAAGTGACTTCATATAAGTGGTTTCAATGAAGCATTGACAGTCTGGCCTGAAACAAAACTTGTAACCTTACACTTTCCGACCTTAAGAACTTGTGGCGAGACTATAAATTATGAACGAACCTACTACATTTTAGACAGCACGTTTTGGATTTTAGTGTGAAGTCTACTCATCTGCATGATTAAGTGGCATTATGGGATTGTAGCTGATATCGGTTCGTGATGAAAATCCACACCTCTAATTCCTAACCCTAACATTCAACTTTAAATCCTATTTCTAATTCTCTACACTAATTTACATTCCTCTGTTGACACTAGTAAGTAGGAGGTGAATGTTATCAAGGTCAATTTAGCATTGCTCTTAGGTTGTCCATAAATTAGTCGCACTGAATTAGTCAAATGTAGGACAAAACATAAGCTTTGTGTATCTTTGGTCAAATAATTGGCAGACATTCTTGTTGTAGTATAAAAATAAATACACAACATTTTGTGGCATGAATCTCAGACACAATGTTTTCAAAAAGTATGTCATCAGCAAAAAGAAACTCGTATCAACCTCAACAAAAAGTTGTGATACGCCCACCAGCGAATAGCTTTGAAATCGGTTTCATGAACCTCGACTGAGAAGCACCGATAAGTGGAGACTGTCAAGCTGCTAGCGGAACAGCTGTCTGTTGCTAGTGCTAAATGCACAGTACAGCGAATCATAAATTTACTGAAATAGCAAAAGTGAACCTCTCTGCAGGTTTCTTACTTAACTAGCCACTGAAAATAGTGCTTCTAAGTAGTTTATATGGTTGCTGTAAGGATGACATGCAGACATCTCATCAAGTACCTGATCTGGTTTCTTCATTTACTAAGACAAGATACGTTGGAGGAGACCGATTTGTATAGACAATCAGGGAGTAAAGTAAACTAGACCGATAATGCTCTTCTAAACTAGAGAAAAAAATAAAAACTGATGATATGGGATTTCAGATAGAACGCAGAAGCGCCGAACAGTCGATAATAATGTCTAAAACAAACGAATCCGTAAATAAGACTTCGTTTGTAAGTTGAGTTTCTTTTCTCTTTAAGAAGTTACGTCAAATGAAATGCGAAACAGGAAACTTTATAAATTTTAAGAAGCGATTAGCGGTGGAGAGTATTACCAGCGCCAATTCACCATACGTTAGGTAGATTACATACAGTTCAATTTGGAATATTTACAAGCTAAGAAAGTAGGCCGAAAGAAAGTCTTGTGTATGTATCAACATTATTAAACGCGAATGATCAGTTAAAAATTCATTCCTAATGTAGAAGTAGAGTATCAATTGTTAATCCAGTAGACTGAAAAAAAAATGGTCCATGAAAACAGGAAATAACCATCAGAACCATGACATTGAGGTAACCAGAAAACCACGTAAATTAAACAGTCAGCACAAACGGAATTATGGAATGCCAAAATCCGGATAAAGGAGGCGGCTTGAGAATAAGGTTAGCGACCCCATCTCCTATAATACCAACTTGCTAAAAAATTCACTAACCAGAACAAATAATTCAAACAATTTAAACTGTGACCCGACAGTAGGAAGGTTTTTATTTAGAGGAATTATGACCTCTCACGATGAGAGCCATGTTTCTTCGGAAGTCACGAGGCTGACATCATTTCTCACAACCACAGCAACAATTAATATAGATACACGGAATGTTCTTACAATATGGGAGACCGTGAAAGTCATGCAAGTTGTTGCAGAAATGAAAAGATGCACACTGGTGGTACTTGAAATCAGTGAAACACATCGAATGTAGACTGGACAAAGAAGAATAGCTTCAGGAGAGATGCTATTATACTCGGGCCCTGAAGAAGAAAATGCATCATATATGCTCGGAGTTGCACTGATGCTGTTCAAAGAAGCACAAAAGGCGCTGATGGGATGGAAATCTCATGGACACAGGATTATCGAAGCAACCTTCAAAATAAAGAACGGATCACAATGGATCACATCCGGTGCTATGCACCCAACAACAATGACAATGAAGACAATAAAGATCAATTCTATGAGAGACAGTGGTCAATCGTTGAGAAGTGGTCAACAACTGACTTGACTATTCTGATGGAAGACCTTACACAAACACATACACAAAGCTACCATCTGAGGCACTGAATGCATAAACAGCAGTAACTGCAATGAAATTCCATGCTCTCTAAAGCAAGATTTGGGGTGCGAGGGAAGAACAACTACCAACAGACTGAAAAGAATGACAACTCATCAAGATTCCAAAGAAAGAAGATCTCAGCAAGTGTGAGAACTATACAGGCATCACTCTCCTCTCGGTTACAAGCATAGTCGTCAACAGGGTGTTGTTAAACAGAATGAAAGACTTCGTAAACGCCCAACTTCGAGATCAACAAGCTAGATTTCGTAAGGATCGGTCGTGTACCGACCAAATCGCAACATTACGGATCATTGTGGAACACTCAATCGGATGTAACTCACCACTCTACATCTGCTTCCTTGACTAAGAGAAAACATTTGATAGCGTGGACAGGATGATATTATGGAGGCTTGTTGGACATCAAGGTGTACGTGACAAGCTAGTCAACATCATACGGAATTCTTACGATGTACTACACTGCAGCTGACAGACTCATTTGAGATGAAGAGCGGTGTCAGACA